CACCACCACCACCACCACCACCACCACCACCACCACCACCACCACCACCACCACCACCCGCTCTATTCATGTGACCATCCAGACGCCTGTATTTCTACTAGTACACTCAACTGTATCAATTATCAACACACAACTTGGTTGAGCTGTCTAGCAAACGGTTGTGCCTTCTCCACTCCGGTCTTCTTTATCGTCGCGGGAACACAGGGTAACGTACTCGGCGTAGATTGTCGCGGTGGCCCCGGGGCACTCATAGTGCCCTTGATTTTCCAGACTCTAATAATGTTGCGTGTTGCAGTTGAAAAATCATGCACTATTAATAGAACGAGTCACTTCGTGTTGTATTTGCTGTGGTGACGTGTTAAAGTGACAAAGTTTGAACGTATAAGCCGTGAGTGATTTTTTTACACAGAACAGAACTCGAACTAGTGAGACAGAATGTTCCTTAATCGGTGTTGGAAACACTGGTGAAATCACTTGGCCGAGTTCTCTTCTTAAGTTCTCCCGCGTACGCACTCAGTCTTAGGCAGAACCGTGGTATGAGGAACAGCCTAGCAGGCGCAGGGTGTAAGGCTGCTACCCCCTGTACTGCCATCGATTTGTCAAAAACACAACCTCGTTGACCCCTGTTAGCAGCTCGGCTAGTCCACCAGCCTTGCTAGAGGGTTTGGTGACAGGCCTTGGAGAGGGAGATTGGGGGCAGGCTTGCACTGCTTTACGTCGATGCGCCTTCGCACTACTGCCCTATTCTTGATTCGCGTCTTAACAACTCCACCGGGTGGTCCCGGTCTGTTGGTGTCGTTGAGTGGCCATCATCCGACCTTGACTGAGTTGGGATTTTTTAATCGATTTTGGATATTTATTGCTGAGCCTAAGCTGCGGGAGGGTGTCGCTGTGATGAACAGGCGTTTTGGTGTCTGGTGCCTACTGATACATCCGTTTTCGCTTATTTAGTGCAATTGGGGGATGATCGGTCGCAAATAGTTTCTTTAAAAGAGGCCTTAAGAAATGGTGGTTTGGTTTGTACCTAATTTTGTGCTTGTGCATTCCGCAGCTCATGCAGCATCGCGCCGGCGCTGCCGACGCCGCCTCGGGTTCTGGAAGCAGCGGTCGGCGAACTCCCAGTGTCTCGTGGGAGGCGTACCGTAGCTGGAACCTCAAGGATAACGATCTTTACATTGGTCGCAAGCCGTCGATTAAGCTGCAATCAAATGATATAAAACTCTCCGTTGCCATGGTAACAGTTGGTTTGCTTTATTAAACCAGAATTGCTTTGTAGACTGATGATGTTAACTTCCAAATTACTCAGTAAGTTCTCTTCTGGTCTTGCAGACTGACTCCAGTCATTCATACACTGTCATTATATCTTTTATTTACATAGCATCTTAGATTTATTCAAATGTTTTTCTCCTCTGCGGAAGTTTACGAAGTTGGACGAGAAGATACTTTCTTCCCTTCCGTCAGGATTTCCCGTCCGAGTTGGTATGTCTACTTATCCAGAATTAAGTAGCCGCGATATTTTATTGCGCGCAGGTCGGAGGAAATAGGGAGCGCCACCACACCCATTGCTATTTAAATGTTGTCGTCCTATTCTCTTAATAGAGGATTTATGTCACCAAAGATTACACAAGAATGTGAAATCGCTGTGCGCGAAGTCGTCTTTAATTCCCCTCGACATTTGGCGATTCGACCGAATTCGTTTTTCCACTTTTTTTGTGTGTTTTGTTGCAGCATGCTGGCATGCGCAGTACCTAATCTAACCATCAACTCTCCGTCGCTCTATTAAGTGCCACTCAGTTGGCTCATGTGTTGCCATTTGTGCCCTGTCTGTCATCATTTCTGGGTGCAGTTGCCGGCAATTGCTTTTCCTGCAGGGGTTGCGTTTATCGTTTACCCTCCCCCTGTGCTACGCGTATTTAAGTAGCGCGGGGCCACTCAACGAGTGTGCGTCCAACGTTCCAGTGAATTTGTAATCAGTAGTTCAACCGATGCACTACATCATCCACTTCATGCACTTCCCACTGTTAAGACGGTAACCTAACTTGGCAGGTAGAACAAGACGAAAATCAACTCCTTTCTGGTAGTCTCGCTGTTTTTTCCAGTGATGTCGGGCCTCCATTTCATTATTGTGGGCTCTCGGATTTCCTCAACACCATCGGAGATGTAAGTACGAAGGTTCAGTGCCCTTTCACCAACATGGAACAGCTGATCCAGTCCTCGTACCTCGTCCCAGTTTGGTAGCCAAGGCCACTTTTGTGTAATCTCAGAGCTTGACGCGTTACTCCCGCGACACGTCCTCTACCTTCTGCTGACTGCCACAGTTTGCCACCCAAAAGATCAGGTTGTAGAGGTTCACCAGCGATCGCGCGAGTGAAACCTGTTTACTAACCCGAAGGTGTCAATGCCTCCTCCCTACTGCATTGTTTACTGCCATCAGTCGTTTGTCATCCGCTCACTCATCCACACACTAAGACACTCACTTGGCTGGCGTGACGCCAAAAAACGGTCGTATCCGCTGTCGCTGTCTTGTTCCACTCTTCTCGGGCTTTTAACGGGGACTGCTAACCAGAGGGCTCTGCAAGGCTTTACAGATCTTCCCAGTCAGGTTCAAATTAAAACAGCACCCAGGAACACCAATCAATTTCACGCACCACGCACCCCGCCATTAAACATTTCAGTCCGGTCATTTCTTTTACTACGTTGTCGTAGCTACGTTGTAATCATCACTACACAAGATTTCCTCTCATGGCGTGCGTTCCCCCTCTTTTTATTAAGGCTTGTTCTCTATAATTAAAGTTTTAACTCTCGATGCATAGTGCGTCCGTGTATGTTGTTTGCTCTGGCGCCTTTACCACCTTGGTGCGATTTGGCGATTCTTGTGCAGAGTTGATTCGAGCGTGACTGCCGCCTGACCGGACACGCCGAGTTACGTTCGGCGTCCATTGCCCTGTTGACAGGTGTGGCGTCTGTCTCGCGTGCCTGGCCGAGAAGTGGGATCATTGCTCTGGCAGTCTGAGTGTCGTTACTTTTAAAGACCACATTGCCTTGGTCTTGACGTTGGATCTGCTCTCCGTAAACACCAAATGCTAACTCACTCAACACCACCATTCAGTTATACAAATGCATGCTCAACGGGTTAAAACTTTGCTGAAATCCACCCTTCAGGATCCTTGTGAGATTTCGATTTTATTCAAGGTGTAAATTAAATGCGGTGCCAATTTTACTCTGCATTTAAAAACAAAAAAAACAACAGAATATGCGTATTTCTGAGACTTGCCTTAGCGGCTATGGAATCCTGACTACTTGTAACTTAATGGGCCTGTGGGCTTATTCCCAAATGGGCACATCTCCTGAAGTACCTCACATCTTCAATAATGACTTTCGATTTTATGATGTTTTTTAGCCAAACGGGTTTGTTTCGATTGCCAAGGTGCCGTAAATTCGGTTGCGTTTTGCTAAGTTTGGTGAAACCATTCGTATCACACATCAGCGCTCTTTTGGTCTTAAGTGCTTGCTCTGACAATGCGGAGGAACTATCTCGGTGTCTCTCGTGGTTCTCGTTTGACCCTACTAATCAGTTTTTAAACGCTTCACTTATGGTTTTTTAGACGTTCCTGTGGCCCCGGGTATTACGGGCCGTGTGACCTTCAAAAACATCGAAACATGCGAAGCCAACAAGACAACTTCCTTGGGCCTAGTGCTTCAGGATGAGTTGTTCAAGATTCCCGTTGGATACATCTCGAGCGAGGTTCTTTGACCCAAAGAACCTCGTCGTCGATCGGCCGTTCCAGACCCTTTGTCCTGCTCACTCCACTAGGTCTCAGAGATTGGCCCTTTGACTTTCTACACTTCCCAACCACCTGGCTACTTTGCTCCAAATTGAAGCCTTTGAGGTTCACCACCACCTCAACGTGTGCCGTGGAATGCCTCAGGCCCTCCGTGTCTTTCCTAAGTGTCTCCTGCTGTGATTATTCTGCTTGGTTTTGCATACAGCCTTTTTAAATGACATTGCACATTTTTGCACAAATTCTGTGGCAAGCATATATTGGTAGATTAAGTTTGCAAATAAACCAAAGTTTTCTGACTCGTAGCTCTTTTTATTGTGTTCTTTCGCCACACAGAGCAGACTGACTTCTAAAAGAAGGAAGAAGGTTGATAGCTTGTGTGTGTGTGGGCATGTGGTTTTGGTAAAATTGCCAGTTTTATGAGCAGTCTGCTTAATGGAGAATTTCCTCTTTGAGGATAAGACACAATCGCTGTTCGTGTGCACGCGAGGGTAAAAGCACGCCGTGTTTTGTCTCGACTCGCTGTGCTCCGTTCGGTCAACCCAAACTCTCGACACTGAGGCCCTTTGACGTGCGACTGGTAGCGTGCGTCATTGGTTCTGTGTCAGGTTTGGACGTACAAACCCGTATATCGTGTGAAGGAATTATTTCAGAAACCAGTCGGTAAACTCTTAGACGCTACGTGGGGTTTTGGTAGCAAGACTTCGCCTGTTGCTTTGCGGGTGTTTGCTTTTTGCATGGGCGCACACCCCTCCCCTCGCGTTGCGTGTTGCCTTACCGCCTCCTTACCTCACCGCACACGGGGTAAGTGCTCATCTGGGACCAGAAATTGAATCTCCCATCGCGCACCCAAAGGTTGGGCTGATTTGCACTGAATCAACAGGGCGGCCAAATGGTGGAGGATTTCATATTCAATAACCACCCCCAGAACGGAAGTCGTACAACGGGACTCATCATATGCAGACTGCGTTTACCAGACTGTCTAGATCTCCATATTGGGCCTTTATATTTGAATGTAAACGATGTTAAAGCATAATGGGGGGAGGGAAATGTCTCGCGCTGATAAGCCGTGGTAAGACCGACCATTTGTATGTCTAGTGCATCCATTTAGTAACAGGCTGGTGGTAATTTGTTGCCTGGAGGCGGTAAGTGAATTGCCCCAACTCTGCCTGCTCCAGCTTCACTGAAACCGTCATTGTGTTGTAGTGTTGTGGTTACATGCAGACTATTCTAACCAAACTCCTGTGCTGGGGCTCATTTCAAAACAAATCTGCATGTCCATAGTGCACCTGTATATTCCAGCCAAATTTGCTGTAACCCCAGTTGCCAACGGCAACATTTCATGCATTACAAATCTAACCGTTATGCAGAATTTCTGAACTAGTGGATCCGAAAGAGGATTCATTTGAAGGTGCTACTGCACATGTCAATGCGGCCCTTAGACCCTAGATAAGTGGAATCCAAACTAGGGTAAAGCAAATCCATTGGCGGTGAAATTGTGTTGTCAATCTGTGTAAATGCGTTGTGCTGTCTGCGACAAACGTGGATGAAGGTTTAACCCCAAAGATTACGAGCGTAATGCGTAAAATTATTCTGAGTAGAGGCAGCCGATTCGATGCGATGAGTTTGTCACTTTTGGGTCAAATTAGGTGACACTGCAGCGGGAGATTAGGCGATGTTAGATGATCATTAAATAATGAGTCGTAGGATTGTTAAGCCTTGCAACTGGGACGTTGTGTTGCTTTTAAGAGTCTTTGGTTTTAGCGGCTGATTTATGTGGACGCCAGTGACATGTTTACGAGGTACTTTTAAGAAGCCTTCAGAAAAAGTTCGTTTTTTTCTTCAGATTAATTTTACCAGCAAAATTACTTCATGAAAGGATCGTTAAAAGAAGTTTAAAAGCCACTCAGGCAAGCTAATTACTAAATTATCGTTACTATGCCTCATTATTTAGAGAGAGAGAGATATAATATTCAGAAGAAGCATGTTCTTATCTTTCCAAACACAAAACGATTGCAGCTTTGCAAAACTTACACCGAGAAATAATGATAATTTCACACTGCGACGACAATGGTTAATGTCCGATCCTAAAAGTGAGAAATTATGCCTTTGTTTTTAATTAGCATGGCTGCGAAGAGAGTTTCAACGTCTGAAATTGGTTGCCCTAATGACTGATTCAGGGCACAGTGTAATGAAAACTAACTGGCAGATTAAATTGGAGTGCAAAGACATTAACCAGCACATTTTATGCACTTGTGCAACGAACCTGGCTTGAAATAGGGCAATGAAATGATGCTTTGATGTTAGCCACACAAGTAATTCACATGAACAATCTACTCACAATCGCAGTTCGGCACAGAATTTGTGCTCTTCGCAGCACTGGCGAAGGCTTGTCGGAGTTTTCTGTTGGTGTCTCAGATAAGGTTCTAGCATTTGAAACTTACGGTCAAGGGTTCCCCTTCTCACTTGAACCCTAATGTGACCTTCTGCCGTAGGTGAGTGTGCCGTAGTACAACTTAAACGATCACACCTGCTTAATCTTAGGACACCAACTATCTCCTCAGCATTCAAGTGCTCCTCTTAAAGCGGTGACCTTCGTTCCATCCCCTTCTTTTAGATTATAAGTTTTGGCAAAATCACCTGCTATATTTAAATTAATCTCTTACATTTAATAGAGAGATGACTTTTTTTCTGGAAACACAATGATTAATCTGCAATTATTCTTAGGAAAAACTCCACTAATGCTCCGGTTTATTTCTTGCCTGAATTAAATCCGATTAGTGATGCGAACAACGCTTAAATATAGTTATTCCGCCTTTAGTTTTGCATCCAGTAAGTTTATAAAGTAAACTGACGTGTATATTTTAAGAATGGAGTAGGATCTCCATTTGCAGATAAGAGTGGGGAACTTTAAATAAACTAATACCAGCTATCACGGTATTGCTGTTGTGTTTTACAATTTAAACTCCATGCTAAAACCTGTTTAGTCATTGTCTACAGAAGCAAGATATCTGGGTTTGAGTTGAAATATAGCGACTACTGCTAAACAAGCCACAAAATGAAACCAGTGAATTAGTGGAAAATCACCACATTAAAAACAAGTGTTTGTTGTGTGTGTGTGTATGTCATTGGCCGAAAACTCACATGCTGAATTCCCATTCGCTGTTGTCCAATGGGCACCTTGGATGAGCACTGCTTTCCAGCCAGCGTTTAATGCAGTGCAGGTGGTAGGCATGCTACAACAAAATACACCCCTTAGTGAGCAGTTTCATGTTGAGGGGATCCGCCTTGTGACATCCCTAAATCCTGCTGGATGATCTCGACTTGCACGTTGTAAACAAAAGCCAAAAACGTAGTTTCCCAATTCATATGGGACACTGGATATCATTTAAGAAGCAACATGTTCCGATGGGCCTAAGAGGCGTCCCAGGCAGATGCATTAGGATTTTTTTCGCAACCAATTTGTGTCCCAGGCTTAGAAAATAATTGCTTTTGCTATTGGTGTCATGTGATGTGATAGCTCTCTGCAATGTAATACCCTTTAACAAAACAAAGAATTTGCAAATAATTCTGCAGCTGTTGCCACTTCAAGAAAGTTCACTTAATCAAGCACTCGTCCAGCGGTAGGTTTAAGTTGTCGTGAGATCTGCAGTGATGTCTTTATTAGATGCATTACATGTAAATTTGCTTCAAGGCGTTAAGATGATTTAGCAGATATGAAGAGTAAAATAATGAGCAGAAACAAGAAATGACTACCGCTATTCCGCTAAGAACAATAGGGCTAGTATGCAGAGTGAGTCAGAGGCAATTGGACCGTCATTGCATGCTCAAAATTAATTTTGCTGGCAGCTGAACGCTCGACTGCTTGGTAGGCGACAGTTGTTGACTGAAGTACTTAACGCGAGTACATCTGACTGACGTCAATTTGAGTAGGCTGTTCATTTAAAATTTGCAGTTTTTTATTCCGTTTCGAGAAAAAAAAATCGTGCAACGCTAATGGCCGAGACGAATAACGGGAGACTGACAGATGAAGAAAAAAGATAGCATTGCAAAGGCGTTTTCCCAGCAGACAAAAGGATTGTGATGCACTGTAGATTCCACGGATAATTTGATCAAGACTTAAAAATAAACACAATGGCCAGCCTCATTTGCCACGTCAAATCAACAGATTCGTACGACGGTCTATTTGTAAGTTTGCAAACACTGTTGAAATCCACATGACAGCTGTGCAAGAACTTGTCAAAAACCAGGCAGCACACACAGGCTTCACTCATTGATTTGATGCGACTAGTGGGAAATCAGTTGTTCAGAGAAAATTTTAGGGGACCATGAAAAACGCAGCCTGCACTAAGAAAAATCGATGAAGATACAGTAACTTGCAGCTATTCGTACATGATTCATTTAAAACTTGTGTGATACATTGTTCAGTACTGAAAAAAGCTCGTCAGCACTTCAAGCTCTGTATACATTGAGTTCATGTGTGACATAAATTTCTACCGATTGTATCATTCGGACTGAGAATATTTTGGCAGCATGGCTGCCTCTGACTCACCCTGCATCATAAAAGGAACAAATGAGGTGAATCGCTGCGAAAGATTATGGATCTTCACACCACACGTTGAGATAAATACCCGTATGAAACTATTTATAACATAGATTAAGGCAGATGGTTTGGATGTAACTAGTCAAATGGCTGGTAACATATCAATAAATTTAAAAAAAAATTGTGAATACCTTTACTACAAAAAGAACTACTTACTTGCATCGCTAGAGTGAAAGTTTATGCACGACAGCGGTTTACTCTCATGCTCACAACTCATACACACACAGTAATACAGCAGTAACACAGCAGAACACATTTTCAGTAATACCCACAGAGCTCTGTGACACGTCCTATTTTGAGTTCGGAAATGCTTTCCTGCCTTTGTAGCGTGTTTTTTTTACCACACTGTGTGTTTACGAGTAGCATGTTCATCGAGTCAATGAGATTTATGGAATCAGAGGGGAAAACTCACGTTGCAAACTCCCCAAGCAACGGCACATATTTCATCCAGTGGACTTGTTCCTATCTTCGCCTGACAGTGGATACCTGAAAGGATCAGCATTGAGGCAACAAACTACAGACTTGACGCATGTTATACACTTAAAACCGGTATTGGTCATGTGGAATCTGGTACCAGGAGTTGACCTGGGTTATGTCCTGCTATATGTGCAGTATTTTAATGTAGACGGAACACTGTGAGATTTTGCAATTTTAAATTTAATAATTTTTTGAATCGCAAGCAAATCAATATCATTCAAACATTTTCAGCTGTAATTATTTTGTTGATTCTCTTTGGCCGTTAAATGGCTAGAGCAAGCACTTTCGATTGAGGCTTTTCTCGTCATTATTTTGAAGCTATTCACGTTGCTGGCAGTCACTCTCCCATTCATCCGGCCACCAAGAGCCTAATTCCCCCACAACAACGGTGACAGCGCTTGCTGCCGCCGCCCGTGACGCGAACGCGAAAGCAACGGATGCGCCCTGTAAATAAAGAGTTAGAGTCGAATCGCATGGCCCAAGCAATCAATTTGAGGATACGTGTGCGTTCATTGTTGTAAGTACATCACTTACGCGAATACTTGGGTTATTTTTTTTTTAAACGTTCATGAAGCAAACCGGCTTGTAAATGTTCGGATCAAGATAACTCATATTTCTGTAGAAACTTCATTCAGTAAATACTGATAAACCTATGTAAATGCTGGACATTGGGCGTGCTAATGAACATTCACCTGGTCGCCGTTGGAATAAAACTGAAGCACACGATCTCTTGACATTCAAGACAGGGGCTTTTCTTTAAACACTCAATTACTCCTCTTAGCCATAGCCCATTTTCATATTTTCAATTCATACGCTTTTGAACAGAACGAGTAAGTGAATTGCAAACTCGATCAAAAGAAGCAAAGGTGTTTGGCTTCTCCATTTTTTTAACCTAGATTAAAGGTGAGGATAGCATAGCATGGTATGCGGTAACACGATGGTTCCAGTTTATTTGCTGGTCCTATGGTCACCATGTTGTCCCAAAGCATCGTCTGAAGGCGGCATTCAAAGTAGACAGGCCAGTACACCTGTGAAAACTACTTTTCGAGAAAAGATCTTTACTAACAAAAAAATGCTCAACTGCATTGTACGGGCACAAATTCGAGTTAACCTCTAAACTCCACCCGAGCTGTTAAAGGTGATTGTTTTGGCCAAAGGATTTCCCTGTTCGTGCCTGTTCTCATCCGACTCAATAATGTGTACTTATTTATATGGTTCACAATAACTGGGTGGTTTTTTTAAACGAGGGCAATCTACGATGAAAACTTTCCAAAGCACTTGATATTTTTAGCAAGTTTTCAACCATTCAAGTATTCATTAAAAAACTCTTCAGACTGTTAGATGTTATCAACCGATTAAAGCGCGCACCGGCTCTGGATTCAATGGGCCAGACGTCTTGTAAAAATGGTAATAAGGCTCTACTTTGTGTCGTAATGCGATGATAATGTGTAAAATGATAAATTTTTACTTTTGTTAGGATAATAAACTCGCTGGTGCAAGACAACTTGTGTTCAAAACAAACTTATCTTAAAACTTACAGAGGCTCATCATTGCGTTCCGGCAAATGACACAGGTATCGTGTATTACGTCCCACGACCAGAACGCGCACGCATTCCATTTCAAAAGCTTAAAATGTTGCACATCAGCTTGCGCGTTAACCACCGTGCTTCCCGGTTGCCCTTCTGGAAGGTCAATTTTCGATGCATCGTTCGGATTTGGGCTCTCACCGTCCTGGTGCTCCGTTTTTCCTGACTCCGCGGTGCCTGTGCCGCCGCTCCTCGGAGAGCCCTCTTGACCGGAGATCCCCACACCCGGGGATTCACGCTGGGTGTTCTTTTTACGCCACAGCATGCGTCAATTAAGCTGCGCGCCGTGTCACCACGCGACCTCAGGCAAATCGATTGGATGATCACGTGAACAAAACTCACTCGCAGAAAGAAATCTGCATTATCTTCTCATTGTTTTCCTTTTTCGTTGTTTGTCTTTTTATATCTTAATTAATAGATTTTGAAGTCATTAACCCTGGTTAACCGTTTGGCTCACAACCTTGTCGAAAAAACTAACTCGCCACCTGCTTGAGCTCTCTTGTGTATCAACTGTTCACTTCATAACTAACACAAGAAGAAAGTATTCATTTGATCGGCCCTGAAGTGAATTGTATTGATTTTCGTCCATTTATGCGGTCGCCGCATTCTGTGACATTTGAGTCACTTGTACGTTAACTGGTTCACCAAAAAGTGTATTGATCTGTAATTATCTTAGATGTACATGACTGTGGCACGCACTACACAACACAAGTAAGGTGAACTCTCTAGCGAGCGGTTTCCTCAGCCATCTCTGGTCTTCTGTTTGTCTTCTTGGGTATCGAAGTAGCGTAAACGGACCGGTTCAATAGAGCGGCCTCGGCGTGGTTCAGGACCGGGGCCCTCAACAGTAAAATGTTTTTCAAGGCCTTAAACATCCACATCTAAAATACTATTAATGTGGGGTTTCGGGTTTGGCTCAGGGAAAATATAGAAAGCGGAATGGCTTTGCTCGAGAGTTTCTGCATAGGTTGTTTGGAGCTCTGTTAGAACTTTTGGAGTACCGCTCCATAAGCTTCATCGAATGACTGATTTCTAGGCTGCAGTAAAGAGGTTTCTGGAAAATTACCCGTTCTTCATCAGTTCATCCTATGCTTTGAGAGTTGAAACTAAAAAAATTCTTTTAATTTCTTTAAAGAAATTAGGTCAATTGTTTTATGATAATTTCATTTGTTTTAGTCTTCTAAATGAGCAAAATTGTAATAAATCGATTAAAATTTCATTTTGAAATTACAATGGCTATGGCGAGAAAGCCTATTTCTAATGTGCGATTTCGAATTTCATTGAGGTATTACTAAACCCGTTATTATTTGACTACCTCTTCAGCAGAAGTTTCACCGTTATGGGTCTAGGGTTTTATTCAAGAAAAAAGACTATCCGTGGCATCGTTAAAAATGAATTTATTAACCAAGTTTACCACTGACACGAGCAAGCAGTTTCAGATTACTCATTACGTTATTAATTACACTTGATTAATACCTGTAGTGATAATGACGATGGCTTTGAAGGCTTACTACTGTTCATTTATACCCATAGCTAATGGTTATAGGGTCCTGAATTAACGAATAGTGATGGCAGCAAAATTTGTGACAGATTCTCCCATTTAGTTTAAGCATATAGAGGTAGAAGACAGCAAAATGTTTTGACTTTGTTGGGGATCCAGCATTATCCAAGACGGCTCATCACGGGTTAGGATTTCGTCATTACTTCCACAATTCCCCTAACCATGCCACTTCAGTCGGTGGGTCACCCGCGGCACCCTACTGACAGCCCGATCTGTATCAATCTACCTTGATTTGTCAGTCTCACATCATTCTTGGCTTATATAAGTGAGCACATTCAAGCCGATTGCTTGGCCTTCGGCTTAGACATTAAAGCTCTCTGCATAAGGTCCTGCCTTGTCTTACATCAGCGTGGGAAGGGGGGTCGGCGTGTGACAAGGGATCAGGGGTGCCTGTTGTCTGAGTGTGTGGTCATGGCTACGGGCAAAACGTAACAAACTTATAGCCGTTTTTTTAAGAATATGTTTTGAAATAGATGTTACGGTTGTTAAGAAAAAAGAGTAGTACCATAGTTAACTTAAAGCAGGATAACTTTGACGTATTTAGCAGCAACTACTTTACAATGTGAGCAAAAACCTGCTACAACGCCTCGAACTTCAAAATTGCCAATTTCTTAGTGTAGGTAATCGCCTTTACCGTGGAGGAAAGACTCCTGTGCTTATTTTCTGGCTCATCCCTTGTTTTATTGGACTGCAATGCCGCAACGCAATGGTTTGCCATGAAATGGACGTTTAAGTGAATTCACATAGGCAGTTGAGAAGCTATCAAATAGGACTCTCTCACAGGCTGGATCAGCAGGCTTGACTTTGATTCTTTTTAAGACTCACAATTTTTTTTAACTCCGTAAGCAGAGAATCGGGTTGTGAGTTGTAGCTGATTCTAGGAATGAAATAAAATCTTTTCCGATCATTGCACTTTAAGCTGGAACATGACAATGCGGAACGGGAGTTGTTATGTTCTTCATCTTGAATTTAGCTTCTCACTTCTCCTAAATTGCATTTTGCATAAAGGGCTAATTTTAAGGAATGTGTTGGAGGCTAAAGCCAGACAATCGCAACTGGCTATTTGATGCATGACTCTTGAGAGTTAATTCTAGTTAAAGTGCATAGTGGTCCCGTCGCACTAAGCTAGCAAATTTATTGCCGTAGAATGAGACAAGAAGAATCATTAAGAAGTTAGGGTTCATTGTGAGACCGCAATTAGAATCATGGTAATGCCTGTGCACAAATAAGTCAGGCAGGTGGGGTTGCATTATAAGAGCGTAGAGCAAACTGGTTTCATTTAGTCGATAAATGGTTTCGCAGATGCGCCTTGCTACATGCCAGCTCTCTTAGACACTGAGCTTATTTCATTCTTTGCTTTAAAAAAATCCAGCATTAGGTTTGAGGTAGACGGCTAATAAATATGTAATGAGCTACCTGTATTGCAGAATTAAGATTAGCGGCGTCTCAGGAACAGAAGGAAGTGAAAATAACTTGGGGTTTGGGAGGGGCAACACAGCAATACTTAAGGCTGAGACGGGGATACAAGTGAACACCTTGGCGATTTGCTGCGTGTCACCAAAACACCCAGTCCAGTTTATTTGATGCCATTGGGTATCGCCTTACCTTGTACACCACGTTCCGGGGCTTGCCTCAAATGTGCAGGTCGATTAAAACCTTTCGGGGGGTAAAATTCATGTAGGGTTAGAATTATCATTATCACTACTAAATGAATTTAAGTCAGTCGGCTTATGACCTAAGGTTTAGTTTAAAAATGTTGCTTTTGAAAAATTAATTAACAAAATTACTGCTTCAAAAATCACGCGTACTTGTGTGCCCAAACCCTAATAAATCTATAAGTCTGTGAATAAAAGGAACTAGTTGTTGGTATTAAATGATGCCGTAGCTATTCTGCAAATGCACTTTTTTCTCAGACACTTGTTATGAGTTTGTGTACTAAAGCTTTTCTACTATTTACTCACCGCCTTTAATACTAATTCGAGTGTGGTCACGCCCGCACCAGTCGGTTTATTATTTCTTTTAAGTGTGCAGCGACTCTGACCAGAATGGAGTTATCTAAGTCTCTACTCACCATCCCATCAACTTTAAAGTTAACACTAATTCGTCCAACAGTAGTGCGATTTCGGCGAAGAGGGATGGCCAACCTATTTCCAAGACACATTGTGGACAAATCTATTGTTCCCTTTGCTTAAGATTTTGTACTTTAACTTGGTAATTTAATACCGTCAAATGTGGTGACATGCCTGTGGGTATTCGCTCCATTGCAATTGTGCAAAAATTGGCCATTTAATTTGCTGAAATCACTTTGCCCGAGGAGATAAAATGTTAATTATGTTGGAATGAATGTTCCTCTGCGCAGCAGTGCTGTCACGCATGAATAACCATTATTCAATATTATCTCCATGGTTAGGGGCATTATGATGGCCACTCACGTCATTTCCCATTGGTTTCAGCTCTACATCTGACCACCCAACTTCATCCATGGAAAAACCATTTAAAGAATCAACTGCAAAAACGCACACCTATTTGAACGTTTTAAACAAAGCATTTGTTTTAAAAGTGTTTCTTGCCTGACTTTTGAATTCTCTTTGCATTGTCTTGTTTGCATGCATTCAACACATGTGATCACAATGGCTAAGGATGATAAATCAACTTCCTTTTGATGTACGTGTACACGAAACTGAAAGCACACGCAAGCATTCCTCAACAGTTCTCTATTTTAATCACGCAGGTCTGGGTAGTATGTTTTTTTAAACCTTAATAAATCAACCATTTTAAACTGCTATTTGCCGCCGAGGCAGTTTTAGTTGTTGAATAGGACCTCCAGCATTGTACAAATTATTGTTATCACTTACATCTCAAATACGCCAGCCGAATCTGCCAAAATTAATGTTGGACTAATAAACCAGCACTACTTTCTCCCTTTCCAACCTTAAGTGGTGGCTTTTAACGCGGAGTAAATTCCCCTATTCTATTTTGGGAACAAGAATCCCAATTTTTACATTCGCCAGGTACAAATGATACCCAAATTTTCGTCTGTACTTGTTGCAAAATCTGCAATTTCATAGGGTGTGAGGGTTGCAGGGTATTGCAGTTAAGATATTCTATCCTTCTGCATTAACAAATCTGTGTGGTGTTAGAAACATGAATTTAGGGTTTCGGACGGAACCAAAGCAATTAAATTTATTTGAAGGTACTTTGGTTGGCAAAGTCGGTCTGAAAGGATCTTTGTCAAAAAGAACGAAAATGCAATTATTATTCTTTTATCAAAATACCTGTGATCAATTAAATGTTCGGTAATACCTGCAATTTATCCAGGCGATTTCATAAATAAATGAATAAACCCCCAAAAAGAGAAGGAATGTTCCGCATAGCATTCCTATTTAGCTTAAATATATGGTTTTAAATTTGCGCTGTAGTGAGACAAAAATGCTTGCCAACAGACGAATCCAAAGTGTTCATGAGGATATGTTGATAGCGTCGGTAAGAAACTTCCAAAAAGCACACTTCAAGTTGTTTTCGGTGGTGTTAACAGTGACACTTAACTGTTAGGAAAGTCACTTCATCTTCCGTAACCTCGGACTCGGAGCCTTTGACGTTTTTTTCTGCAGCGTTGCAGGCAACTCTATTTGTGTTCTTTCTGATGTTTTGGCTTTTCGCCTGCCCCATCTCACTACGCTGCATTCACTGTGGATGGAAGATTTTTAAAGGCCTTTATTTCGGCTATAAAGGTGTCGCTCAGCATCTCGCTTATGCAGCTTAGCGGTGTAATATGTGTCCCGGTTAATTGTTCGCAACTACACAGTTATAAACCCTCATGCCTTTTAATGAGTACATCCACGAGCATCAACGGCTAACGCAGAGAGAACCGATTTGGTTACCCCGCTCAAGCGGCTTTCTACCTAGGGATTTAGTTTTAGTGGCGAAACCCGAGACCATTCCTTGTGTCTGTCAGACTTGATTTGAGGCAAATAAAGGCTCGATTTTGTCAAAGAAGGGATCTTTTGTCCGAATTCTTGAACACACAAGGAGTAGTCGACTTAAACTGTCGACTTCGCTCAGGGGATATGTATTTTAGTTCAGCTATTTCTATGTACTTTTTGAATCGCTCTGCATTCCCTACTGATAGACTACTGACCACAGATAATTAAGAAACCCGCAGCGATGCCAGAACTTACACTCCTTAGGACGTTGACTTGGCCAATCACATTTGACCGAGTAAAGAATACGCACTTTCGACAGGCAGTGAACTGAAGTGTTAGATTCGAATACGATTGCGTAATCGACTGAAAGGAGGCATGCTTAAAAAGCCTTGATTTTTAAAAAAAATATTTGCATTTACCTTAATCAGCATTTACGTTAATCAGTGTGTATATTTATTTACTACCACATTTTTTGCTAGGGACAAAAATTTAAATACGAGAGCTTGATTATTTTTTTCCGTACATAAACAAGAACGTCTCATGATTACTTTTGTTCGAGTGCTTTAGAGCCTAGCCATGTTCTTGCCCTATTTCGTTTATCACCTCTAATTATAGGACATTATATAAAATAATGATTAAAGTTACACTGATTTATTTCATCATCCTTCAAATTGTTTTATTTTCTGCACATGAAGTTTCTCGATGGCAATGTTTGTTAACTTCAGACCTTCACTTTACGGTTTTCAGAATCTTACAAACAAACTTTCCGATCGCCTACAAAAGTACAAGAGAGAAACGCCAGAGTGTTTTTAAGTTTTCTTTACCATTCATTGCCGAACTCTTCGAATTCAACGCTTATTTTCAGACATGAATTAAACCATTGACTTTGTTTGGACTTGTGGAAATGAATTTACAATACCTATATGCCCTATCGGGTTAATGGCAAATAATTCCTATTCTTGCAGTCAGAACTGTCTCCAAAATAAGCCAGAGCCTCGACAACAATCGCCGTCCCTCACAAACACGTTTTTAATGTTCCACAAAGGAACTAATACAAGGCTCAGGCGTTTGACTGCAAGTCAGGATCACAGCTACAGACTGCTATCAGTTAAGTTTTCTCTACTGACTGCCGTTGTAAGCTCATTAACTACGCACACAAAACTTACGACAAAACTAATTCTGGCGAGCGAATAGGGGGACGAGCGTTCATCACCTCAAGCCCTCTCTCATGTTCGTGGCATCGCGTGCAGTATTTTTGACTTGACGAGACATACAACCAATCTTTGTGGTCATATAATGTGAAGTCAACTGAGCAAAACCAACAAATACATCATTTTCGGCATTTTCTACAGCTATGCGTTAGACTTTGAAGACGAGCCGCTAGAGATTGCAGTTTTGAATCGTTTAATTCAATTAAATTTTGGTCTATTTATGCTGAAATAATCAAAATATTGGTGCTTAATAAGAAGGGCACTTTGTTCTTTATTTGTTTCCACTAAACTTTCACCTGACTGCATTAAGATATTTCTAAATAAACGCGTTGTCCTTTGAAACCTCACCTTTCAAGTGTAGATAGCAACTGATAAAAAACTAAGTCCCATATTCTGCAAATTTAACTGTGTACTTTAAGTCAGATTATTTGATCGTGTTTATAAACTGACTGCAAACATTAAAACAACCATTTACTTAAGTAAATTTAAGGCAACATATCATACTTCTACTATTCATATAATCTATTAACAAATGTCTTCTCCCAATTCGAACGGCTGCCTCTACAGATTGGGCCTCGTTGTGTTAACCTGAAAGGAAAAGTTTTATTGCTCACAGCCAACATTTTATTTTACCTTTATGTTTAAATAGACACAAAGCGAATTGAGTAGGTTTAACAGCTCTCTTCTATTGGCCACCACAGCAACATTTCAGCCCACTGATTGGCTGTACAGCAAGCGCGCACATTATATACAGCCTCATTACCTTTAAGTCCTGTTGGAGCTGGCGTCTTCCTCATTTAAACACCGTTGTCATCAGTCCTGGTATTGGTTTGATTGGAAGCAAATTATCTTAAAGAAGAATAAACGAGACTGGTTTTACTCCAATCACCTAATTACTAGCGCCTTGTTCATCTTTGCATTAGCTGAAACAATACGCAAATGTGAGTGGAATTCACGACTCCCAGCAACAATAATATTTCATAAGCGTATCACGAACAGATATGAGCTCTCCGACGTACCCTGAGGGCAGTCAGTGGAGCCAAAGGCCTCCTTCTACAGGAAATCGGTTCCGAACAAATCCACAGCGTTATCGACAATCCACAATCTCTTCCTCTTCGACGTCTCGTCCTTCTCCTCTACTGGACGCCCATGTGGACTCGAGGCATCAAGCAAGACCGACAAAATCGATTGAAAAATGTGAACAACATGCATGTGCAAATAATGGACCAAAAAAGACTCGACGTCACCTACCCCTTACTGTCACCGTCTCCAACGATGATAAGGAGTCAGTTGCATCAACACTAGATGACTTTGACTACTTTTGCAGCATTTCCTACTCTCCAAACAGTAAAGTGACCCCAAAATACACGGCGGAGACGACGCAGATGAAGCGTCAAAGAATGCGCGGAATGCGAAGTCACTCCATGCTTCATCCAAACGAGGGTAGTTTTGAATCAGGTACAGACGAGTACCTTGTCGACCGGCGGTCCTTTAGCAGGACTCTCACCGGTTACAATCAGGATGTGATTGAGGATTTGACGCCAAAACGCATGTCCGGCAATACCTCACGGCACAATTCATCGGTGAGTTTGACCCAGGGCGGTCGGACCTCGCACTCACCCGCGAAAACACCCATCATCCCCCAGCCACCACCCCACATTCACACGGGGGGTGGACAGTCTCCTCTCGGAGCGGCAATCTCACAGGAGGCGCTAGACGCTGACGACCCAGATCTGGTGGAATTTAAGGTGCAGATTGTAGGGTCGCCCTCAGTTGGAAAATCAACAATCTGCCAAAGGCTCGCAAATTTGAATGGCGGAAATAACGACGGTAAGAGTATTTTTACATCGCAGCACATGAAAGTCCTGGTTCGATTTGCACGGCGTAATTCAATTTTACAATCAAACGTGAATTTGTCACTGATATGGTTTGTTACTGTGCCTTGATAGGTTCTAAATTTCTGCCTAATAACTTCATTTCATTTCATTATACGCATGTCCTTTCCAAATAGCCCTGCCCATTTCAAATATTGAATCGCACAAAAAAGTAGTGGCTAGTTTTTTAAAAAAATTAGCGATTCAACACTATGGCCATTTGCCAAGCCTTATAAATATGTATTCAGCATAGCGACAATAACCTACCCTAGTTACTGTCAAATGACTTCAAATATTATAATTAGTTGATTAGCTAGGTTACTGAACAGTTCTTGAGATAACGAAGTGCAAACACTGCAGACTGCTCAATTAAAAAAAAACAAACTGAGGAAGAAGTCAGTTTATTTAGACTTCAGACAAGGTGTCGTGTTCCGTGTGTTCGTAAACACACACAAGTCTAACGTGTGGAGTGAGAATTAGTGTCTGCGTTTTGTGTGGGAACAGATATATGAACGCAACTGCATAACAAGTTGAATTTAAGCGGATCATCTTAATCCGGTTTGAACCATTTTTCGTCCCGAGACAACACATAGCGTTATTTCGAATAAACGATGCAAAGAGTAGCAGAGAGCTACGATTCGGGCTCAAACCGGTATTTATGCAAAAGAATTCCTACTAATTTGCATCTGTAGATTTATGCAACGAGATCTGTTAGTGCTGTGTCTCAAAAGGTCACTCTTGGAAAAGCGACTAGTTATTATAGCAATTTAAATGTGTATATTACGGAAAAGTTCGTTGATGCTGCCAAGTCAGTTCTTGGGAACCACACAATAATCTGTGATTTTTTCCAAACGAGACACCATGTCAAAGAAACAACGGTAATGTAGCTAGATTTTTCCATTAACAAAGGGAAATAGCAACTAAATTTTTAGAAGAACAAATGACAAAATTCGGAAGTGGGAACTCTTGACCCACTAGAAAACTCAAATATTGAACATAAAACTAGAATAATTGGAACCAACGTGTCAGTGCACCAAATAAATGTATGTTTACATTACCCCTACATTCCCTAGTGGTTTGCTAGCGCTGCATTGAATTTATTGAAGAAGTGGCCAAGTAGCTATAGCGCAGATTTTAAAGTCATCAAATTGTCAACTTTCGGAGTGCAATTTGACATTCAAAATGCACAAAATGTGATTGATTTTTGGGTAATTTTTTTTTGTTTTCACCAGTTACTTTGGTAAAACATTCTTGAGATGCAGAAGGGGCTTGGTTGCTTTCCATAATTCATATGCACAAACCATGCCTAAGGCTTGTCATTAAGGCGCAAAAATGAATAAATGCTGACCGCCATTACGACGTAATGGACACTGACTTCGGTGAGAAATAGTTATGCTCTTAAAAAATATAGGGAAACGTGGTTACGTACAGGACAGTGACGTCTACCGTGACTGAATAAAAACTGCTAAGGAGAAGTGGATGACTTCCAAAAAAAGTGTAATTGAGATTGGATAAATACTAGAGGTAATTTACACCGTAAATCTCCTCTGCGCAGTGACTAGTGTGCTGTTTTTGTGGCGTCGTCCAACTTGCCATGCATCCAATGTGGCTGCATTGATTGCTTTCCATTACCTGGCAGATGAAACGTGACAACTACAATTTGGGCCATAAGAAGAAGTTGTACTACAGTATCTAAAATGCAAATGTCCGAGACCTCGTGTTAGGTAATTAGGGAAGGGAAGGTCTTATTCAAGTTGATTGCACTGTGCTATAAGACAAGCGAAGACTGTCGTAGTTATAAGTCCAATTACGCTAAAAGGAAGCCCATAAGTTGTAGGCGGCTACTCATGAGTGCCCGGAATTTCATAAAACTCAGACAAAGGCACTAGGCACATTGGTGCATCAGCTGCTCAATTTCAGTCCAGCCAGGCCTTAAACTGAATTATTGCCGTCACCTGGCTTATATGGAGGCCAGATTAAAGTGGCAAAGTAGCGAACTTGGCTGTTAAGCGTCCTTGCTGGAGTGATGTCACAGCTGTGATAAACAACCTCATTACGCTAGCCCAGACTTGTCCCCGCGAAATCCTAACCGGCCAGCTTCAGGACTGGACACATTTCAAAGGAATGATTTGACTGCTTAGCTTAATTACACGTCTGTGGTTATAAAATTAAGTTCACAAACCTTATTATCTTCAAGTCTTTTATTTGTTTAAATTTAATCGGATGACTAATTACGGGATTTCTCACCTGTTTTTCAGTTGCTATCGCAATTCAACTACAAAGGGAATATTTTTATATTAACAACTTTTATAGTCTGTTTAAATAATCTAACATTTAAAAGTGAATTTTTAGTAATGATCTATTGAACTACGGTAGGACAAGATGACTGATTGCCAGATCTTTGATGGTAGTCCGAAACCTGTCACCAGAAACACAAATTTCGCTAGTCACGGAGGCAATTCTTGTGACTTATTCATCTGATTCAGGACACTGACTTCATCGCATACGTATTAAGATATTTTTATGCATTTATAAGTTAACATTTGAGTCAGTTTTTCTGTTGATAATAACAGGATTTCACTTGCATAAAATACGATCTAGAAAACGTGATAAGGCGAAAGCCAAAAAAATTTGTATTTCACTAACTCGATGCAACAACCGACTACCAATGAAACAACGCTCGTCCGTTACATGACTCGCTTTAGCTATTAGGACTCAGCATAGTCATCCCCAGTTTAATAGTCACACCGCTTTTTTTATGATGCCAAGTTGACGGAAACTCATTGGTGGTCATTCCATGTAAGGCAACCTCACCACACTTGGCGAAATACAATGCAATCTTTTAATTAATGCTGTGTTGTGTGCGACCACTTTTTCATTGACCTTCTCATGACACTTTCAGTCGTTCGGGACGTATTTAGTAAATCCTCATTCCGGCATTTTGACCTTCTACATAACTACGCTAAGAATCAGAATACCGTTTTGGGAATGTTACTGGAGCAGATTTCAGTAAAGCATGATTTAGCAATGAGATTGCAAATTGTACCAAAGTTATTACTTTGGGACTTTTTCTTCTTCTCTGGAAAAACAAAAAGTTGTCTGGGTGGTGCATTTTGCAGACACTTATGCCTTTTGAAACATCAAACAATGGCCTTGAAAGGTGGCACGACGCATAGGCGTTTCACTTTCGTAAGCGTCCGTTTGCTGTAAGTTTATCGGGTAAATTGTCTAGTAAACTTCAGTTTTAGCACCTTTTGAATACCTCTAGCCAGGTTGGTGATTGAAACTGCAAACAATCGCTGCTGAGAAAAAACTTATGAAGTTTTGACGTTTCTATTTGCTGTAGGCCTACTATTGATATCAATTTATTGCTTGACGAGGCTGTGTGCGACAGTGACAGAGGGTTTAAATATGCGAGGATAAAATGGGTTTTGGTATTGTGTTTGGGCACAAGAAATCGGTGGATATTGGGTGAACCAGCAATCAAATTACACAAAAATTTTTACCTTATTTATGTAGACTTTAATGAAGACAATGACGACGAATTTCAAGCACTCTCGGTGAAGGCGACCTTAAACGGAAAGATCTTCAAAGTTGGCTTCTCCGAGACAGTCATTTACTCTGCGGAGGATTCAATGGTGAGTTTGGCGACGATTTAAGCAGTAATTTGAAACTAAACGTTCGGTGGGTGGGATTTCGCATGTTTGCATGTCACAATATATTGCATACCATTTCGGGATATCGGATACAAAATGCCTGCCAATTTAATCCAAATCCAATAAAAACGCAATTACAATTATGAAACATTTCAACGTCTAGGTTCCCCTCCTTTTCTCCCCAGAAAAAGTGTGTTTTTGTGAAATGTTTAACATGATAGGCAGGCATTGTTAGGATCTTAGCATTCAACGTCATTCATCGCAGTTGAGATGGTTTGAAAAATTAGAACTTGCGCGGTTCATTCAGTAGTAGTAAACGCGCAAAGTGGATAGCATAGTTCAGTGTAGTCTGCCTAGTAATACGGCATATAAATCTAAACCACTCAGTTGAGGCTTCGACTTCAGGACTCTGGTATCATAAAGTTTGTCGTGCTAAACAAGGCCTGTCTACTTTACATTACAGTGGAGTTTTTTAGCATAAAAAACGCTTGCAATAGGACGCACCCATTTGAAACGGCTACTGAACATTAATCATTGCTAGTGTACAAGGGGGCCGCTTCTTTCAAAAACTGGCTTGAATTCATAACCTAGCTCATTATTCAGGCATAACATCATGTATACGTGATCTGTTTGGTATCAAATATGGCGATTCAAATCTCGCATCACTTTTAACTGAATGAACAGTCTGTTGTAGGTCTTTTAGTAATTTTCATAATTGCACTAACTCCTTTCGATTGCACCCAATCTAAAACCGTAGCTGCCTTTGAACCAAGCCATAGGTGCGCCTGTGTATTTTTGCCTAATTGAATTGGTTTAATTTGTCTTTTAATTCAAAACATAGCTACTAATTAGGGAATGGAAAGAACGATCCCCCCGAAATAAATCACGTGCATTAAAAATGAGAAATTAACGAAAGTGAGTGTAGTATCGTTTACCCCGGGGTTCTCCGTATTGCTTGATTAAGGGCTCTAAGTGCAGTCATAGCCTGTTAGCTGAGTCAAGAGATAAACAAGGCGTGGTTTAGGGACTTGGTTGAAGAGGGCTTTCATTCATTTAACTCGTTTTGGATATTCAGTGTTTTTAACCTAGGCGAAATCGTTAAGTTGTTATTCACGTCCAGTCCAATTACCTAAACATCATACCAGCGTGTTCACGAGCCCACACACTACCTGGTTAATCAAATGTGCTGTGTTCAAATTCGTGTAGATCCATGTTTATCAAAGTGATCCAATGTCGACGCGAACCTATAAACGGGTGCAACTAATTGCGTCTGCACCATTTTAACTGAATCACCCGTACAGCAAAGTGCTGCATTTAAATAAGCGAAAATAGGTAACCGCTCTCGAATCGATGTTGGTAGCTGCAGTATCCGCGTGGTTCAATGTTGATCCCAGCAAAGTTATTTGTATGCGATCGAAGTTAGCCTATGAAGTTGTCATGAACCTTCTTAGTTTGAATTAGATGTCCGGCTTGGACAAGGAAGTCATGCAAATATTATCAAGCCAAGGTCTTATTATCGCCAAATCCCTAAATTAATCCATTAGAATGTTCCGCCTTTTCAAAATGACAGGAACAACCAATGGAAGGCTTTTTTTCAAACGGACAATGTCAAATGTTGCATAAATGCATGCCTGTGTACTCTAGTGGCCCCGGCGTTGGGCCCAAAACATACTGATCTCGTTTATGAATGATTTTCAATTAGTAAAATACGGGCCAATAAAAACCAAGAGCTTGAGGCAACCAGTTGCTTTTATTAAATTTTAGAATTGTGTGTAACCCAAAATTTAGTAAATAAACTGCGTCATTCACTGCAGGTGCTAGTACTTGTGCGCAATTGAACAAAAAATGCATGCTATGGAGTTTTTGCATCCTAAAGTGAAACCAAGTGGTTGTAATATTCCGTAGACCAGAAAGCGGTTGACCACATTGTTGGTACAAAGACTAAAACAGCATATTGGCTCCTCTAGGACTAGAGTTGCATGCTTTCTGGATTCAATGAGAATTTGTGGCCTTATGTGACTTGACTTAGTTTCGCACAAAACTATCTTTCTAATTCGGCATTATTTTAACTAATTTTTTGCCCGATTGTAAATTAAATCACTGGGTGGGGATGTAACCTGTCAGTGTCGGATAGGCGGTACTCCAACTAGTTAATGAAAGGCAACAAAAAGTTTAACTCTGTCTCTACAATGTGGTCTGTAAGCATTGGCGAATCAAAGTGGTTTGCATCGTGGTACTAAAATGGCACAAAATTGAGGTTTGATTTCACACGGGTAGAAGGACAACCGAGAACCCTCGTAAGTTGCTTATTCATGGCAACGGCCTGGCTCACTTAAATTCATGTTGTAAAGAGTTCGCTGGAAAGCGAGTTCTTTTTCCAAGCGTAAAGTAAAACGTGTCGGTCAACAACAGAGGGAAATCGAACAAATAAGAAGAGTTCAAAATCCCGATAAATTTGTGTCATTTTTCTGGTAGTTTTATGACTCCATGCAAAAAAATCCCACCTGGAGAGATTTCAATTTTTCTACATGAATTAAATTTGAACTTTTGCAATTTCCACCACAAGTCGTATTGTCATAGTTCGGGGTGAGGGACGTGAGGGGTATGCGGCATCGCTTCCCAGTCCAGCTCCAGCAACTTCCCCGGGCCATGCAAAATGTGTGGGACCTTGCAACTTACGCTATGAACTGCAATCTTTTCGTGACGCGCCTGCTCTGGCCATTTAACTTTGGCCACTTTCTCCAATTACCTTGGTTGTTAGTAGTATTCATCTTAAGCGATTGTACTGTTCCTTGAAGGTAGCTTAAAATGTCCAGCACCAAATAAACTGGCAGTTTGATCACGCTAATCGATACAATGCTCCAATGGATTGCTTACTCACTCTTGAACCATAATCGTTCTTTACTTATGCCATTGTATGGGATTTTTTTCATTACTATTTGTGATGAGTCCTTTCAGCGTGGTGCTTGAGAAGCGTGTTTTAAATCTTGACCCATCGTACTAAGTGTATTTCCTCCGATTCACGAGGAACTCAAAAAATATCGAGCTTGTTACCACGTCCAGGACACTTGGAGCGATTTTCGGTTGATGTGTGTGTGTGTGATCAATTGAGCCTCCGCAGTATTTCACATAGCAATGGGTGCGTAAATCGACTAATTTATGGCCTTGATTTGGCCACCATTAACTTCGGGTGCTTTGGTAGACATCCCCGTAAGGGAACTTCTCAAATGAATTTTGATGCGCGCATTCTGTTAAGCAAGCAAACGCCATCAACTTAAATTCCCTCTTTATGCACATGAAGAACTTCCTTGTTCTCGTGTCAATACAAATCAAAACTAGTCGAAAATGCTGTTACAATCCATAGAAAAATCGACTTAAAGCTAACAGATGCAAACAAAATCACACGCGATTTGCTTCTTACGCAAACCGAGATTATTTGTATGCTTCTCTGTAGTTGACTTAGTTCGACGGGAGTCGGGATGTGGCCCATCGTTTTAAGCCAATAAATCTGCATTTTCAAGTACCTGTGCCAGAACAGAATTGTACAAATGCAACAACTCCTGACCGGCCATGAAAAATTAATCTGCTGTTCCTCCCTCAATCTAAGGGAAAAAGTTTCGTTCTGCAATTTTAAACAATTCCCTCTCGCACACCTGGCATTGCAGGTTTGCATTTGTCAAGCTTCTTAAAAAAAGGATAACTTTAAAACGGGTAAACCTATCTCTAATATTCAGTCTATATTGACGCTTCTTTCACAAGAAAACCCCTAATATTTTTACGTTTTACAAAACTTTAAACAATATTTTAACGGACTAGCATCAGTAAATATAAATATGAGGCAAAAAAATTTACTCTATCCACATAAGATTTCCATTACAAGCGTTGTCTCGGCCTTCACACTATATATTAAATGGTACGTTCTGTGTACCACTAGGCTGGACTTGGTCCGCTGCCGAAGGACAATGCGACAAAAAGCGCGAAAGCTCCAGTGACCAGCAAAATATTTTTTTACGAGGTTCCGTTTGAATTAATGCGAAGTACTTGAATTCCCCCTCCCATACGGATGCCCGACTGTTTACCGATTCAAAAGAACGCGACGTCCAACGCACCTGTTACTGTTGTTCAGGAGTGATTGGTTCTTTCTCAGCTCGCAATTTGTTGTCCAAACTCTCATCAATGTACAACTTCAATCGCGTCTTAGGGTATCATAAGTAAAGCCTGCCAATAAATGCCGGCCAAGATTAAATATCGATTTAGACGCATAACGCCCAATGATTTCCTTCAAGACGATTTTACAATTGGCTTCAGGATAGCGTCAAATGTGTTTATGAAAATTGGAAATTCGATTAGGTAATTTCGAACATTTGTGTCTGATTTTTATTATTAATGGAGCATGAGCCTTTCATCATCATATTCCTAACTGCCAGTTACCTTAATGCGTCGTCAGTCAAAATAAACGGTGCGCAGGGTTAATATTTAAAACTAAGAATGATAAGCTTCACATCTGACATGTCATTATATGAGTTTAAAAAAAGAAGTAAGGGTTGCAGTGGCAGCTTAATATTCAGGATGTCAATTCGAAATGGACAGGTAAGAGTGCTTTAGTCGATTTCCAAATGGTGGCTTCAGCCTATACGGCACCCCTTGGTCTAACCAGCCTTAGGTAATTGAAGATGTCTTGATCCCTGATTTATTACATGAATATTTTGTGGGGAGCCTTAACGGTGCCAGTTCAACTCCATTTCGTCGTTTAGAGCAATCTGAATACGCTTCGAAACCTAATATTTGAGTGCCGCATATTTTGACGAAAATGACGGCAACTATGAAATGAACCTTTGCTTGATCATTTCATTGCTGGATAGAAAACCTAGTTTTGTGTGTAACAACATTACAAGACGCAGAAGCAGCTAGAAACGAGAAACTACATGAGCAGAATCTAGGACACACAGGCTGATGGGCATCCAATGGAAGCATTGTAATCAGCCTGCTAGAAAGATCGCAGAAGAACAACTGTTCCCGAACTTATTCCGTGTGGGCAAACGGTAACTGCGGAGAAGCACTACAAATAGCTCACACAAATCAATGTTGAAATCTTTTTAAAACTCCTAGATTCGGCACTATTTTTGCGATGTCATCGTTAGACCACTTGTCGCTCAACACGTGCTGCAAAACGTTAGGAAGTCAAAATGCGAAATCCCCCAAGCACTTGTCGTATTCCCATGAGCCTTGTCTTTCCGAAAGTTGCCTGTTTCGTTCTCGGAGAAAATATTTTGGGCTACCAAATTAGCTGGAATGGAAGACATCTTAGTAATTTCGTGTTAGAGAAACCTTGCAGTTGCCATAAAATAGGAAGTCAAGGTATGCAACATGCTTGGAAACAGAAATAGGAGTCTATGTGGATTCAATTCTGATTAAAAATGATACTTATAATGAAAATTTGATCTCTAACTTAGTTTTAAATAGGAAACAAACATTTGGAGCCAAAAAATACGCTACTTTACTTAATATCTCAAGTGCGTGAAGAATATTTGATACTACATGTTACCAAACTTAACCTCTCATCTTGAAGACCTCCGTAATCCTCAACCCTTCGGTAACAGCCTGAAGTGTAATGGGCTTACTTATTCCTAGTGCAGTGTGGTTAACATTGTTATGAGTAACAAGTTAGTGTGGAGAAGATTTCTGCCGCCTTATAATGTACACAACTTTTCACTGTGTGTAAAGCCCACATTGTTTGTGCTCACAGGACTCGACTTATGGAAGGCAAGCAGCATTGATTTTGCACATACTTTTACTCCAGTACGAAACCTATTCACGTTAAAATGTTGATAAGCGTAAAGCCTTATTCACTCGAAATTTGCCTTGGTAACATTGAGTTGTTTTAATAAATTTTCACAATGACAAATCCACTACTTTGGTAAGTCTGCTCTAAAGTTATTCCCTCCGCGTTTACGAAAATGGGCATATTTGACAAACCAGGAATAGAAAGAAAAATAGAAAATCTAGTCTCCTGTACTTATTTTTTGGTTTTCTAAACAACGCTGAAAACTGTTCCTTACATTCTACCAAGCTAAAAAGTTCAATCTTGTTAGTCACAATGTTGTGGGTGATCTAATGAAAGCACAGGTCATTCGGTCTTTGCACACAGAGCGCAGAGCACGTGTTTGCTTCCTTTTGTGCAGAATATCGAGATCCAGGAGTGCGTAGATGCCTACGTGGTGGTGTACGCCATCGACGATGAATCGACCTTCGGATTTGCCAAGCGCGTTCTCCTTGCCCTCCGTGACAGCATTCAGGAGAATTCCCTCCCACCAGCTGGCTTCATTCTGGTTGGCAACAAATTCGACCTTGTTCGAGGACGCGAGGTCATGGCCGAGGGTCAGTTTACTTTACGTTTGCTATGAAGGCGCTACGTTTATGCTTTGATACGCAGAGCAGTGCGGGGTCGAATGAGAAATTGTATGTGCAAGACATTGTTAGGCGTCTATGGTTGAAGTGCCCTAAAATTTCGTCAGTAACATATTCGGACACTGTATGGGTATATGATGTCAGGAAATTAACTTAACTAAGAGTTAATTACCTAGCTTGCGTGTGCTTTTCATGAAGATGTCCTTTTCATATTAGATTGATACTAAACAACCATGATTTTGAGATTATATAAACTTGAATCTGGAAGCTAAATTGCAGGAAAGTGTCATTAGTAGGTAAGTGACAGTGGGAAAGAATGCACCTTAGGTATTACAAACATGACGGTTAGCAAAAACACAGATGCTCATAAGTGGGGACTTGGACAGGCAAATTGCATTGGTGCTTGAAAACTCTTGTGCATGAGCTTATTCTGTCATTTAATTAAATTACCTAGCCTGCCTGCATTTTTGCCAGGCGATAGCAATAAGATGCTTTCGTGTAGATTGGCACTGATTAAATGTGATGGGGTTTTGATTCAGCGAAAGGCTAATTAGGCAGTAAATAGGCTAAGGTAGACAAGACTGCCCCTTCAACATTGTACGTATGACGATTAGAACTTGGACTAATGGCATCTGTACCCGGTGCAGGGTTGCCAAGATCTGGTTATTACGACGTACAGTTAACACTGACACGGAATGGGTAAAAGGCACACTGTGGATTTGGACTCACGCATCTGGCGGTCACAGTCAGGGTTTCAACAATTTAAGCTTATAATGAGTCTATAAGGTTATTTTTGCCGATTGGCCAGCACCACGAAGACGAGGACTTAAATATAGACCACTCGACATAAATGACGCCTACTCCGGCTAATTTGCAGTTTCACGTGTTCGGTAAGCTTTTGGGGGCCAAGAATAGCTTAGAAAGCCAAATGCCAAAGGCCAAACCGTCGACGTGGCACTTGCAGTTAAGCCAACTTCGGGTGGTGAGGAATTCAACACCCGGCGTTACATCATTTAGGCGACATCCTTTTATGATGCCTGATTATGACGCAACTCTGAAACTCACCACGCTACTTCAAAGAACATTTTCCACAACGGGAATAAAAGACGACTAAATTTATGGAAAGCTGTAAAAATATGAACCATTTTTTTTTATTTTACTGGTCACATGACTCAAACGGTTGACAAGAGAATATTTAAAGGGAAGTCGCGTGAAGTTCACATTTTGTAAGGGGAGTGATTACGTGCAGGTGCAGCAACCCTTCGGAGGGCTTTCATGTAAATTTGCAATCAGAAAATATTTTAGGCTGAAGAAGACACCATCGCATGCACAAAAATATAAATCAGAGATCGCTCTTACGTTTAACAGACCTGAATTTTAAGAACGCATTTAGTTCAAAAGATTTTGTTCCAAATCCTACCATAGTGCAGACTGTAGTATTAAAAAAAATTAGCAGTACTCTAAAACAAAAAAGGATTTTATTTCAGTACATCTTAGTTAAAGCCACAGCTTTCTTTCTTACCTCACTGGAAGTAGGACATTTGCTTAATTTTTCTGGTGCATTTCACCGGGCTTTAGTACTTTTGTGCTCTAATGCTCTTGACTTACAATGAATAAAAGAGGTAACTTGTTGCTTTCTTCACATCTTCAAAATGTTATGTGCTGAACGTAGACTGCCTTATCCCTCTGAATACTTCCTTCTTATATTTAATCCCCTAGTTACACTGTTGGCATCACAGAAGAGTGTCGTACACTTGTGACCAGCAAGCATCACGATAATCCTTGGCTGATGACTGTTATTTATTCACACGACAACACAATCTCACGCTTTCTACACAAAGATTTCAAATCGATCCCTCTACCTAAGCCAAGAAACTTGAGTTGATTCGTTGTAAATAATACTTTGACCCCGAGTGCCTATGTCGCAGCACGAATGCTAAGTTCGACTGAAAACTCTCGAGCCTTTTCCTTCTTGCTAAAAGCCCGAGAAGGACGCGCGTGTTAAAAAAACTAAAAGAAATATTCTTCAAAAGCACAAACCTTCTTAATTTAAATTAGCTCTGTGCCGAGCCACCTGAAAGGAGAAATCACAGAAGGAATGAATATTCTGAAGGCGTTTGGATAAATTCCTTAGTGAGACAAAGAAAAGTTTGCTGTAGCCTCGAATGTTGATTTTACACAATAAGGAATCAAACGTAGACTTTAATGTTAACTTAGCTGCTTTGTGTTGCCTCTATGTTCGACATCAGCTCCTGCATATTCGTTTCACCAGTCGCTAGATTCTTCTTCACTCTCTGCCACTTTCTCCCGCGGTTTCAACCAGAAATCCTCTGCAAAGGCTGAGATCATTAGTGACGTGCTGCTTTCATTCATCCGAAAGCGCAGTTATCAAAAGTAAACTTAATAGTGACTCGTTCTCTTTGTAGAGGGCTGCCAGTTCGCTGCTTCTCAAAAGGCCAAATTTCTCGAAGTATCCGCCGTTCTGGACCACAAAATACCCGAACTCCTGCTCACCATCATCACGCATCTACACGAGCTCGAAAACGCCAAAGGTCAACGACCGAAACGACCGCCGACCAACGAACTTTGGGGGACCAGTCGGAAAATTGCAGTCAACATGGCTGGTTTCGGGAGTGCCAGCGGCGGCGGCAACTGCAGTGGCTGCGACGGCTCCTCCCGCCTCAATAAAGAAACCGCGAAGAGAGAAATTGTCAAGTTCTTTAGGAAACACTTTTCCAAATCTTTTGCCGAAGACTCGACTGGGAGCAGAGATGCAGGGGGAGATTAGGTGAGAACAATTACACGGAATACTCTCCAGGGTTTGTCAAACAGCGCTCTAGTCAATACTCTACAAAATCCTAAATACTCTCGAGATTCTGAAGTGTACCCTAGTCTGTGACAGGAAAATATTTTACACGGTCGGCTTAAAATATACCCATACAATATCAATTTTCTATCAGGTAAAAAGCTTTAATTATAGTACTTGCAGTGGTCGATTAATTAGAAGACAGTGCTCCTATGTGGAATTCCTAAAAACACATTGACCCATCGATCATCGACTCCTAGTTTTCGCTTGTAAAAAATTGCCAATTTGGGACACGCACTGTGGGAGCGTAAAGACCCTAACATCACCCGAACCAACCCAACTCTGTTGACGCTTAGCCGTTCAGGTGATTAGACCATGTTCAACATCTCTCGGTAAGGTCTAAGGTTGACGTGGGAAAGAGAAGTATTTCAGTTAGCTTGAAGTAATTTTGCTGTGTAAATTTTAAAACAACTCACAATTATTGACAATTATAAAGTTGTTTTGGCAAATGTTATAACCGACTTCCCATTAGGAGAACTCCACTGAAAACAAGTTCCAATGCACAAATGTTTACGCGAATCCAAGTAAGTTTTCCTCGGGATAATCGAACTAATTTGATTAATGCCGCCTTGTTGTGGATCAAACCGCTGATAAGGCGTGCACTGTCACAGTAAGCAATCGGAAACAGACTCACTGATAATCAAAAACTCGTTATTCTTATTCACTAAAGAACATGCACGCTAGCGATTTTAATGGCAAAATATAGGAGAAACTTATATTACTAGAATTAGTGGCATTCTTAATTTTTTTTTCGAATTTCTTACTGTAAATAACAGTAGCGGCTTAAATCCTAGCAGGCAGACACGCCGGCTAGAAAAACAACAACGAAGATACGGAACATAACGAAGTTTACGTGTTATCTGCTGAACAGATTTCAAATGGAAGAACAAAGGGTTACAAAGAAATAAAATGGTAAATGTTACACAAAATTTATCTGTAGTTTCCAGGTCAGAGAGGTATGACCCGTCAGATCCTCTTAAAATGCGTCCTGACTTCTAAATCGCTAACTGAGAGTACTAAAACTTCAAATCCTGTTAACAGTAAGTTTTTTAAAGTCAAAAAAAGTTTTGTGGCTATCGAGCTGTTGAATGTTTCTGTTCTTGTTTAGAATTCTTATCGCCCGGTTATCCCCAACTGCCGATGCTGCGATGCAAAGACATTAAGCCCACTGCCCTTCGGGGTGTTCTCTTTATCGCAAATCATCAAGTGATCTGGGAACGCAAACACATTGTTGGTTGTTTTTCTTTTTCCGTACAAACGCATATACATATGAGAAATCTGTTGTAAATATTTATAAATGGTGTGATTTAAACCTCTATATTATCCACTTTGTTTCTACTTCGAATGATGCGGGTCCTCGGTGCTGCTAAATAATAATGACATTTTGCTAAAAACTCACTTTAAGGGCCAGAATTTACAAACATGTGTAAGGGTTAGTTAATCTTACGTTACAGCCATACACTGAATTTGTAGTTTTTCATTGAAACCTGATGTGAATGCAATGTCTGTAAGTTAGAAGTTTAAATGTGTCACTCATCTCCAAGACAAACTAAGTCAGGAATTATGACTGACACTTTCAACTCCCAACTCTAGTGACAAATCTCTCCGTGATGCTAATGTAGGAGTCCATGTAATCTGACTTTCTTGCAGAGTTGTGTGACCAAAAGACCCAATACATTAACTACGATTCAGAACATATAAGGCCTTGTTATTGTTGCCTGCCTCGATCATGTTCACACGCTCTTGTTCCAAATTGCCTTGCAATGTTACAAGAGCGCATTAAAACTCCAGACTCACTATTTGAACGTTGATAATGTGACAGACCAATTATTCAGCAGAATACGATAAGAGTCCCTGTAGTCTAGGCTTTAAATGACTACATCCCTGGACGTCGTCTCTGTATGGCCCACTTTTACACTCAACTCATTTTCAACTAGCCAGACGAGTATCAGCAAAAGTACATCACATTTATTGAAATAAAGAGACAACGGCTACTTCATTCCCAACACACTTTGGTGAGATTAGCGCCTGAATTTTCTCACACCTCGAATCGCCACTGAAATCCTCCTTTAAGAATGAGAGCACCCTCAGAGGCCTGTTATGTTTATGGAAAACGTCACACCTAACTGAAAAATAATCTGAGCTCTGGTCAAATAAATAGACCGTCATTTTTAATGGTTTTCAATAGAAAGTATTCATTCGCTTATTACTAATTTTTATTGGTGAGCAAATTGACGTTCATTTTTGGTCTGATTATTTTTCTCAAATGGCAGCATCTAGTGAAACTTGATCCTAAGTTTAATTTCTACATTCTTAGCGCGTGTCTAATAATCCAATCATCGATTTAAAAAACACGCATAAACATGATGTCAATGTTGGTTATCTGCGTGATTTGTGTTGAATTTTGGAACAAATAAATTCACATCCATTGCACATTCAGGCAACGTTTGGTGATGCCTCAAATTCAGTTCGAATAGCGAGGGAATTGCACATTAAAATAATTATCTGCGGTGCTTTGCGGAATCTTTAAATTTTTTTGGTAACTGTACACTAATGGAATAAATACTGTGTGATTGCCCAACATCTTTTTTGTTTGGAGACGAATAGTGATGAGCTACAAGCGAAATATTTAAAATTGTATCTTCTGAAGTCAACATTTAAGTCCGATTTATAAAAAGCGTGATTTGAAAAATGACAGAGATCATTTTAAACATGAGGAGAAAAAGGCGTAAAATTCAAGAATATCAGACAAGATAAATGAAATCCTATTTTTTGTCATGGTGTAAAGTAAAAGTAACCGAAGAATGCTTTCTATTATTTAAATTTCTATGCTCATTATTACTACTCCGTTTTTTAACCACTGCAAAAATGCACATGGCAGTCCCCTAGGCGTGCAAATATGGTCAGATTTGCTATATTTTGTAAGCATGTCTCACATCTAGAGGTAAATGAACTGGAGCACCACAAAGACAAGGATTCATCATTATGGCTTTTTGAAAATTCGAAGGCCTGTAGCAATAATAGACTTTCTACGATGCTTTAATGGTGACTCTTGTGAGCCCTTCCTTTTCGTTGCAAAAGTCGGCCAAATGTCAAAACCATGCCCGTAAGGTATTTACTCAACCTCTTTTGCCTTTTCCACGCAATGCCTTTGATCACTTTTATCCAGACTGCGTTTGGCCATTCGCTTGCATCGGCGCTTCTAACTCGACAGAGGTCGCATTCTTATCAACACTGCCGAATTGGTCTTGGGCACTGACAGAAATTTATCTCCGTCTGACTTATTTCTGTTTCATATAATAGCCACCGATACAGCTTACATATCACTTGACATGCAGCTCACGTCAAATTCTATTCTTGGTGCCGCTTTGGTTTTTTTGAGTTGGCTTATCGTTGCCATTCTTGTCACCATCGCTTTCGAAACCCTTAACATGAGTGAAATGGGTATTCGAAGAGAATAAGACTTGCCGGAAAATTCGAAAAAATATTTCAAAGTGTTAGCTTATTTCTTACTCTTACACGTTGTACGGTGTTCGTTACATATGTCTGATATAAGTGTGCAGTCTTACACGTGCCAAAGCTTGCCTCCTTCGAATTAACCAATGCGTCTTTCATTAGTATGTCTTTTGAAGGCTGTTAGTCATGCAGTGCTCGGTTAATTGTCTTCGGCCTCACCAGTGTAAGTACCTAGCTTACGGCTTAACAACCGGTTTTAGTTTCAGGGAGCGGTTAGATCAAATCGTTCCAATTCCTCATAACCACACACCGTTTTGGCCGCTTAAAACTCACTTCCTCTGAAGTTGTTTTTAACTCAAGTGAGGCCGTGAGTAACAATATAACTGACGCAAATGCTAGTCAGCTCAGATGAGCCTACAAGGTAGAATCAGTCATTCAAGTGAAGTAGGACTCATACACATCAGAATAAGCCCGTAATAAGCCTGCAAAGATTACTGAATTTGGTGCTGAAAATGAAGGTGGCTGTTGGTGAGGCGCATAAAATTAAGTGACCCTATAATGTTTCCTTGCATTATGCAGCATGTTAGATTTATGTGAGCCGGTAACCATAGAGACATTTTTCGCTCGTGTTTCAAGCGCGAATCTAACTTCGCCTACGTGCACTTTGCTCATATCGCAGCGCCATTCATTACCAATACCTGAACTAGTAAATATTGATTATTAGTTTACGTCCATGAAAATTTGTTTGTTTAAGTAAACAGCCACAAGCAGTGTGCATTGTGCGAAAAAGACCAATTTCAACTAATAAACTAATCTCATTCCAACTTCGGAATTATCAATACGCCTCTAGAATGACTTGAGTTCATTTAATTCATTGGTATTGTCTCAGCATTCTGCACTCTGCCAACTCACGATAAGGATGAATATGCCACCACCTCAGCTTCACAAAACGGTATTTTAAATCAATACCGAATGCTCTGCAAAGAAACCACTTGGTTTTGACCTTTTGTTAGAAACGTCAAACTTCACCGGTAAGTTCGTTTCTATCAAGTACTAAAACGCTCTCATCTCGTTTCTTTTGGCCGAATTTTTATGCCTTTTTCTAAATTCTTGTCTTATTTCATCACATTAACTAGTTGTTGGCCTGAAGTATACGGTGCAGTTGTTTAGTTCCTGATTTGATACAGTGCCTGTAAAATTGTATATTAGTAATATTTCCCCTTAGACCGATTTGACAGACTGGTTGAAGTTGAATATCCATAGTTTGCATGGCACAAACAGGATTAACGCTTCGACAGTTCATCTATTTTACGACAACACCAACTCCTTTGAGTTAAACATTTGACACAGAAACTCGCCAAGCGAGATTTTATGCGACGAATAGTCAGTAAAACAGCAACTATTTTTAGAACAAGTTTGGGGATATCGTCTTCGCTCACGGGTCGTAGAAAGGATTTCATAAAAGGAGGGACGTGGCCTGCGAACACGAGATTAATTTCAACACGTGCGAAATTTGCTGCTGTGAAATACACACCTGTCCCTTTCGATACCAACACATATCCTGGAGGCCATTAATTAGACGCCGTCCTGCTTACCAAGACCTAGGCAATTGTTGCACATTTTAGTAACTGTACTAAGGAATGTCAATTTCAGCGTTTTTAAAGAGAGAGGCAGTCGCATCCAATGGTAATAACTGACGAAGCTGACTACTTCTGGGGTCGAAAACTGCGGCTTTTCATGAATCGGAAAAGTCATTTACAAATGGCCAAAATAATCAAAATGAAAGTTGATCCAATGAAAACGTTAAGTCTGAATTACACGAATCATATTTTGGTCTTTTAAATCTTCACTGAGTTGTTTTAATTATAGCGCAAAATCACATTTGCAATAAAAATCAAGTCACTTATCTGGACGCTTTTAGCAGCACATAAATTTCAACTGATTGCGCGCATCAACTGGTAAGTTTGAGTAATGTAAAATTAACCGACCGTGATAGAGTAAGCTTTCCATGTAATCAGACCCCCATGTCTCTCCGATCCTTGATATCACATGCGCATCTAAGCCGGCAAAAAGCGATTTTATCAAGCACCGTTTTACTCTCAAATTCGACCTCTCTGAAGTCTGAAGCATTACATTTGGGAAATTTGGTGCGGCTCAGGTAATCCACACTTTCAAAATGGGGAACTTAGGGTGTAAAATTAAGATATCAAAACAAAGGACGGCGCTTGCTGTCACTTAAAGCCTGGAAAGTGAGAATTGGCTCTAAGTATCTGCATCTTCGCAAACATTCATGTATACATTTGATCACGGTCAAAAAATTTCCATTCAATTTGGTTCTTAAAACAGACGATTACTTCTTCTTCTTCTTCTTCTTCTTCTTCTTCTTCTCCAGATCATCTTGGCTTTTCCCTCGCAAATTCTGACTTGCTAAGAGGGGAGGAAGTGGATTTTACCGATTTGGCAAACAGACCAAAATACCAAGTGCACTTTAAAAGGCATGGTACAATTAGAAGTCGGTTGTTTGCATGGATGAGTTGGAGTCGGACATGCTTCACACCTACCTACTAATTATAGTGCTGAAAAACCCGCGCTTCTTCTTATGCATGCTTACCATCTTGTGATTTTAACCACTTACAGGCACGATCCTAATGCAGTGAATTTCGTAACCTGATTCTACCTTTTAGTAATCTCAGATTGTTATGCGTCAAAAAAGATTCGTCGACTTGTGAGAAAATTTGCTGCAGGATTTGCTGCTGGCAAAGTATTCGGTTCCTAATTAGCTAAGGAAATGTCTCGTTATTAGGCGATTAATTTTCAACTTTTTAATGTTACTGATTTTGCAAAGAAACTGCAAACTGTCAAAAAATCAGGTGTACTAAATTTGACGCTTCAAGACTGTTTAAGAGTACAGTTACCAAGCGTAAGCGAATGTGATTTAATTGGTTCACGTGAATGTACTTCACGTAACTGTGTTCGTTCAGGGATTGATGTTTAGCAGGGCCACGCAAACGTACTTGTTACCTTGTACAGCACACCATTGCTGCCATAATAAATCAGTTGAGCTACGCGTTACCTGCATTTCCACTCTGCTCTCGGTCGGACCTTGTCAGTGTACATCGCCGGCCCTGGCGTGGTTACCAAAACCGCACCGGCGGCCGCAACATTTTCTTCTATATTCAATAATTGAAGACTGTGAGATTAAGTAGTTTGGCTTAGGCAAGACCCGATGAACGTTAACCAGAAAAAACTGATCCTACGGTTCATGGTTGAATGGCTGGGCACAGTGATTTGCCTAAGTGAAAAAAATGGACGGGACTCATCGGAGTAAACTACAAATCCACCACCAAATGCTTTTCCCCAAGTTGCAGTGGAAAGCAACCAAATCAAAACTCACAACCATAAACATATGCTAAGTGACACGTGATTTTGATTTTCACAGTGTGGAATAACAACTACAGCTCCTAAACTAGGCGGCTTTGTTGCCTTATAATGCTTCCGAAATCGGTTCACATTGGCCGCACGAACAATGACCTCCATTTATGTGATGGGTGTATTTGAGTTGCAAAAAATGCCTGTGCAGCATTTGGACCGGATCATCTTTGAAAACGTCAGAGAGCCTGAAAGAGCTTAAAAGAGCTCACACATTTTGTACCCGGTGTCTTTTTGTACCCAGGGGGTAAAGCCTTCCGGCATAATTTATAGACAAAAATGGTTTACCAGCGCAAACCGAATTAGCGTTAAGTGAAAAGGGTATCCGATCTACATCGATTTGTCCTCACAGCGCGCACAAATTCTTATGTAAATCTGATCAACCGGCAAATGAAGCTCTCTCTCACAATTTCCACTGTAACAAAAGGCTTTGTTTGCATTTTCCGGCATATGTATTCAAAACTAACTGGTGATTGATATTTCTTCAATTCGCATTATATGTGCAACACGTCTCGAATTCATCTGTGCACGTGGCAGCAGTTGGCGGTGGCTTTAATTTGTCAGCAATATTAGTCATAATCACACCCACGCATATTTTCCCTGCTTGAGCACTCAATCGCCTCTCCTGATACATATTCCTGATGTTATGCAGCACCTAAAACACTGCTTATCTAATGCCGCTTATGGTAAACAATGACCTGCCACCATATTTGTACATTCTCCAGAATACCCTGCCGAGCCACTTGACCCAGTTATTGATATTTACCTCCTGATTCCCCATTGTGTAACTAACCCCCGACCCCATGCCGACTATCCACGTAAGCACTCCTCCAGCACATCCCCAACCGTTCGCACTCGCGACCCACAAACAAGCATGGACAGCCGCGAATGATATGCCACCATCGACTTCAATCTTCTTCGAGTGCTTGGTAGCAAATCAAGCCGCAAAAGCAATAAACGTTTGGTGCCCCGGAGTGGGTGTGGAACCCACAAAGGGATCTTCAGCAAACTAAATTGGGCAGGAGGATATGTGTGACACTCTTAATTTCAATTCCACTTAGTCTACACGGGAGCAGAGATTAGCAAGCTAACTTCGTTTTAATGTATGATGCGAGATTTTGTTCAATAGCTAAATATTTGTATTTGTAGCCAGAAAGTCAAAAAGGTACTCTTACCGAGTCAAACGTGGAAGTTAGTTCTGGAAAAAGTAGTTCTGCGGGTTTTACTGTTTATTTACGCGTAACATGGATCGCTTGAATCCCTGAGCTAATCAATTTTTCAGGACCATTTTGGTATTCCGTGTAGCCTCAAAGAGATCTAACAAACACTTCTTTCAAGGTTTATTTGGATAAATGACTAATAAATTTGATCATTGCATAAAAATGCTTCAGGAGTTTGTACTGGTTACACTGTCCAGTCCAAAATTAAGGGGTCAAAATGGGAATGCACCTCTGTTGAGTGCACAATCGTAGGGATTTCATAGATAATCTTATAGCTTCCATCGATTGAACGACTAACCAACTGTTCGACAATGGGTACAAAGTTGTATTCCTCGTCTACCTTAGTGTCTTTGATTGGACAACGTCGAACGAAAGCGTACTTAATCGCCAGTTGATCACAGGCTGCAATGGCTCTTCGTTGTCTCCATTCTGCCAAGTGGGAGAAACCATTATATATGCAGTCGACGCTTCTGGGGTACATTTCCACGAGGACCTTGACAGCTCTCTTTGGAGTGGGCACCCACATCTCGCCGAACGGTCGGTAAATCAATGGAAACACATCTTCTACCAGGTAGGAGTAGTGCTGGAGGTTATAACTCTCCAATTCGTGAAGAATTCCGCCTTCGATTTTGTAGTAGCAGATGTCAAGAAAAGGCCACCCATAATCCCTACCTGGGATCTGCCTTGTACCCTCCACGTCCACATCATTCATAGTAGAGGGGAGAATTGATATGTAGACTTTGTCCCTGTAACCTGACTTGTGAACGTGAAATCCCTCACTTCGACGACTCTCAATTGCACGCTGAATGAGACCTCGATATTTAATATCCACAAGAACGTCGGCATCGTCGTCCCATGGGATCAAGTCATGATGCCTTAGGGACCCCAGTAATGTGCCTCCGCTAAGAAACCACTTGTCTTCCAAGTTGTTTGTCCGCATTATGTCCGCGACGAGATTGAGGTACTTTGTCAGCAAACCACGCTGTGCAACGGTCATCCTGGGATCAAAAAATTTGGCCCGAAAAATGTCCTTGGGGTTCGGGGAAGGTGCGTAAACGCGCGTCGACAAAAGCGCATTTGTGATATTTGGGAAAAGCCCCGGTTTGTACTGTGGTGTGACTAAGAGAGCCTTCATTAGTGCCTTCCCATTGAAATCCACCGACCGTGATAGTTGACAATGAGGGATTCGCGTGAGAGGCGCCGGGCACACCAGCAGGTAAATTGCGCAGGCCATGCCCGTTAGGATCAGCAAGAAAAGCACAGCCTCGCGCATCCACAGAGGAGGCATGTTCCTGAAATCACAACCAGAATTAAATGAACCATTTAATTTTTTGAGTTTGCTTAGAGGCAAACTTAGTACGCCATCTTGGATTTAGCAAAAAGTCGAGAAGCGGATATAAAGACAAGCCTATTGGTTAATCGAGCAGGCTTTTGTTAGGGAAAAAACGCAAATGCAATTCACCGATTCACAACCCCTCATTTGCAGTCAGACGTTAGCGCCCGGAGTGTGAGTGAATCACATGTGGAATGTTCCGTGGGAAGACAAACCCACACGTGTTGTGGGGGGGGGGAGGGGTCAGACACTGACTCCGGCATGTCTGTGCTAAGCCTCGCCCACTGACACAGCCACTAACACCACAATCCATCTTCAGTCGACAGTGCGCCCAAACGTGTTAGCATTGAGGCAGTCAGGTTATCGAGGTTGGGTTAGGTTGTGAAAACAGGTGACAGTAAAGCAGCTTGTCTTAATGCAGACATGAAGAAGGACTTTCATTAAAACTTACCGCATAAGTTTCGTTTTTTATCGAGAATGGAGAGGCTCGATGAAACGCAGAGACGTTGGGATCTTGTTGATAATAACTGGCGTCTGCTAGCCGGGCGTTTGTGTAGTTGCATTTATGCAATATTATCAATTGAAAAACCAACTGCCATGAAGTGAGTAAACATGCTATTGACGCTATAGGTCATTAGAGTCTTAAAATCAGTTTACAGCACAGCACAAACAACGTGGGAAGGCGGAAACACTGCTCTTGCACAGCACATCCATGCTCGAAACTTTACCCGCGTGATACCCGTAAGTCACATTTCTGCACTTAACTTCTTCCTCTTGCTTTCTGCAGAGCTTATTGCCAGTTTTCGGCCTAAAAAAATATACAGGAACTGCACCAGTTTCTTGATGGATTATCTGTACGTGTGTCTACTACAGCACAACATACATTGGTTTCTTGTTCCTTGCAAATTTGTAGATGTATCATTTTCTCTGAATTGGGTAGATTTAACCTGTTTAAACTTGTTAAAGCTCCGAAAACTGTCAAAAGAAATCCCTTTGCTGCAGTGGCAAATGGAGCTCTTCGTGAAAAAGAACATTTGTGTTGTCTCAGATTACAAAATTCCACTGTAACCTCGGTCCACCTTCAAAACGTCCAGGTTCCAAATACAAAGTTAACAAGTGATTGATCTTCCCTCAATTCACAACATGTGTGCAGCCTTTGTCTGGGGTGCGTCTCCGTAATTTCTAAGACCACGTGGCAACACGTGGCGGTGGTAGGCTGCAGAATTGTTTTCAACTGAACTCACGCATAATTTCACTCTATTTCCTCACCAGATGTTATGCAGCACGTAACAAATTTGTTGATTTACTGACCTCCTTCTAACAGGCATTGACTTCCTCATCTTGTGGTTACTCCTTGGCATTCGTTGTCACTAAAATGGTCTTTTAAAACGTCTTTTCAAGCAAGCCAATACCCATGAGATTGTTTTAGGCAAGTGCATAGAGGGAAAAACTGATTTTCATTGTAAATTTTGGCAAAGTAAAACTTGATAAAATTCCGACAACGTCAAATGTGAACATTTGTGGCACATTTGGACAAAGCACTACCTTGATGACATTTATAACACCTTGTGGGTATATTGAGTTAAAATGAAAATACACAAGAACCCATTCTGAATGAGCCAGGTCACAGCTAAATGCAGTTAGCCATAATCCCCTACTTTCCGCGTAACTTGACAAAATTCTCGGGGTCTTGAAATGCACACGTGCTCGTAGCCAAATGACCAGAAAACTCCACGCTTCAAGCGAAAATTCACCCAAAATCCAGTGTTGATATCATTTTGTTAAATTTTTAAAAAAATTGGCTCACATTTGGCACGTAAGTAGTTGCAGCAAAATTATTGGCTGCCAACTTCTCGCAACTCCAACGTGTCTATCAGATACTTTGTGATTTGTGGAGCCTTGACAGTGGGAACTATGTTTACATAAGTTGCAAAAGTTCCATTACTCACAAGTCCGGTAAATCAGCTTTAAGTGCTGCAGGATACATTTGCTCTGGAATTTAATATCCTCGTTTTTACAGTCAAGACAGCTAGGGAATCTATTAGGTTCACAAATTAAAAGTAGCAGAAGTGACAGAAGAAGACTGCCTACTTGGAGATTACTATCTTGATCAGCAAGCGTCATTTTGAAGGGTACGTGAACTTGCCCCAGCATCACCTGACTTAAGCATAAACACTGTCACCAACAGCAAACTAGCTTGCCAATTATGCATGCGCATAACGTGAGCATTAAGATGAACCAATCCTCAAAGGCGAAGCAGTTTTGTGACACTATTAATAGCCATGAACTTCAGACCCAAAACACCTCATTTCTCGTGGTACCCTAACCAAAAAATTGCCCTATTTAAACCTGGTAGCCCATCGAACTACGGGACCTTTGAGGTGAGGAAGACATGGTTAGGGCTTTGGGTAGACCTACGTGGGACCCAGCATCGTGAGAGCTGCAGAACCTCCAATTCGACCAATCAAAACAACCAACTCTACCGTAGGTGGAATGCACCTTCAACTAGTGACACAACCCAGCGCCCCTCAAATAACGCAGAAGCACTTAATAAATATTTGCATGTACTAGTTGGATCGAAGGCAAGTTGGGAGGCACAGACCCTACCGCGACAGGGGGATAAAAGATAAATTTGAAAATAGAAAAGATACAGAGACGGAAAAAAAGAGTTTTCATGTTCACATAATTAGCCGGACGCGAGGTAGGAGGCATCATCACTCTTGGCCAAATCCCTCTGTCTCCTCAATGGCCAGAAGCAGCTTCTCTTGAAGTTGTGCGTAGGAGGTGTAAGGCGGCAAGTCAAGTCGATTGAAGCAGGTGTGGCTGCGCGGGAGCCATGCCTCGGTGCCGGTTTTTTCGATGCAAAACAGCTGCCTGCCGTTGCTCCCTAGTAAAGAGGGAGAGAGAGAGTAAGGGGACGGGATTTCTCGCAAGTTCAAAGGTCAACGTCTGTGTGCAAAAGTTGGCAGTCGGGAGGCGGATCGGCTTGGACGGTTACGAACTAACGCGAATTGTGCAACGTTCGGCAAAGCACACGCTTCACAAAACTGAGACACAAGGCGCATTGTGGTCTACCGAACAGAACTGTTGTGGATTGTCTGCGATCGCGCGTGTGTAAATCTGACCTATCAGTGTCACTGAATGCTGTTACCTGGGTAGCACTAACGGACCACTACAGAAGCAACGGTTACACCTGAAACAAGCCCGTTTTTGGCCAACACCACACCAGCGGTGCGCAGCGAGTGCAGATGAGGAGTGGGGCTGTGATCCTTAAAAAACGACATCACCTCTATTACCCAACACATCGAGATAAACTGACGTCAGTCAACTCTTCGGGCAAGAGTAGCAAGCCGTTTTTTTTACCATGGTTCAAAAAACGCACTCCTCCCACATTCCCAGAACCTAGGTTTTGCAAAAGCACTCCTCTCACACCCTCGAATTTCCTGTTTAGTCGGATTGCGATCCAGGAAATTGATACCACTAACAGAGGAAGCAAGCCCAACGATTTCGGAGATTGATGGCTTTGCCTTTGAATCAACAGAAAGCAAATGAGAGGGAACAGTGTAGGACTCACCCATTAGCTCAGCGAACCCACCCAGTGGGAGATGGCACGTGCCCGTGATGAACTGGAGCAGCCGAGCGCGTTTTTCTTTGTCAAGGCTGCGGACAAACTGAAATAAATTGAGCACTTTGTTAACATGGGAAAGAACAAAACATGCGCGTCCGGTCTCATAGACCAGGGGACACGCATAGCGAGGAGAGTCCAGAAAGCCAAGAGGCAAGATAGAAAAGGAAGTGATTCATTTAACCCCTGAATTAGAATTCACAAAAATCAGTGAACGAAAGACGTCATGGATCCCATACGACCCTTAGGTTTGATCTACGTAACAAAACTTAGGATTATCAGGGAGGAGAGCTCTTGAGAGTGCGAAAAAAAACACAAAAAACCAGAGCTCTGTTATGACAAAATCTTTTGTGGAAATTTGGAGTAATTGCATTTCGGAAGCTGCAAAAAACATTCTGAGGCAAAATATTACACTAAAGTGCTTGGTATCGACTGTGGAGGCTATGTAGAATGAATAAATGAGGAGTAAAGGATGAAATATGCAGTGGTTCACATAAATGGCTGGATGAGGTGAAGGGTTGGGTTTGCGTGTAGGGCGGTATGAATAATTCAGGGCGCCACCAAGCAACAACGTAAGACGATAAGTAATAGCAAAACATCGTAACTTTATTCCGCTCGCTGCGCTATCTCATCTGCAACTGCCTTGCCAAATACAACCTGACTATGACCTACAAGTCACTATCAACTCCCGGATAGCTACAACGGCCCGAGGATTTTGAAAATATGGGCATCTAGCAGGCGTGCGATCGGTGAAAACGTCTTAGAAATACACAAGCTACTTGGCATATTCACATGCGGAAGCAAGAGCGAGGCCTCCAAGCGACGCAATCAAGGAATTTTCGACACGGTGTTGGAACGGGCGGACGCGTGAAATTTCGACCAAGCAAGAAACAGACCTACCCTCCAGAACCACACAATCTGCTTCGATGTGGGATTATACTTTCGATAGACAGTATTCGACTTCCAATCGTCCACATCCAGTTCCGGCATTCCAGAAAGAAGTAGCTAAAAGGTAAAGTTGAGTGGAGATTTTGGCTTGAAACTAAATTTCGATAAGACGTAACACAATGAGAAAAACGGCACCCATCGTTTAACACAGCCCATCTAAAACTGGTGCACAGGGGAAAATCCAATTTTTTGGTAAATCACCAGAGAATTTACGCAAAACATGATGTAGTTAGTCTGCTCATAAGTTAAACAACCTGGCATTGCCTTTCCTCTTCATCTTGATCAAGTATTAAGCGTGCCTCTATCGTCGCAAAATGTCTGCAAAATTTTACCAACCAGAAGATGACTTGACAATACTTCCGCTGAGGCAGCGGTTAAACGCCCAAAAAACCACTGGTTTTTAGAGCAAATCCGTTTTATAAAAAAAAAGAAGACAATTAAGTTGTTTGTATTCCCTGCTAGAACAGCGAGCATAAATTAATGCGCAGATATTATGTACACACAGCAAATTAAATCCCGCACAATCAAAAGGCGCGCCATCACTTCAAAGGAAGCGTGAAACAAATGCTCCAAACGTGACCGGCGTAGCGCTGATTGCCGTGGGTCGATCGTATAAGTGATTAAGGCGTTCAGTAGAAGGCAGTGCAAGTCGGTTCAAACAGCCAAACAGGAGGATTCGGAAGAGTTGCTTTTAAAAAAACCCTCACAACTGAGTGGCGCGTCGTCAGTTAATTCAACTCAGAGGCTTGAGACCTGATTCTTGGTAGGCGTCGTGGACTTGTGGGCATTGCTTGCGGCAGTCGAAATCGTCGCCAATGGTCAATCACAGGCTCTGGACACTTAACGATCGCCAATGCTTGGCTTCCGGTTCTTTAATGCACGCTCTGCTCTGCAGGGAAGGGGGGCAACATTTTGTGAGTTTATAACCGGAAGCGAAATCGTCCCTGGTTACCGCATTTCCTGTTACCTCGTTTCTGGAAAAGTGTGGTTCACATGTGCCATTCTACAGACAGTCCGTGTATACGGTGTAAGCCAAGTCCCCCCTACACTAGGCAATTTAACAAAGTTGTTGCGAGTTGCGGGTGCCTAATGTGTGGTTTTGCTTTTTTGCAAAGGGGGTGGTGGTTCCAATAAAAATAATGCCTTTTTACGGGAATGAAGCAGGTGGTACTGAACGGCCAGTTGGGTTTTTTTACAAATAAGTAACAAAAACAGATGTGTGTTTTACACACAGCTGGCGAAGTCGGTCGCAATCCAGGCTAAAAAAATAGGAATAAGCACGAATACAACTTTGCGAGAATCATTTAAGAGCGTCAAGTGTGGCGCCTGACGTATTCAGCTTGTGCAACACATAAAACGCATTCCCGCCTTGCTGGATGCGAAGCTTTCCGACTTGTACGAATTCACTGGTGAAAAATATCAATGCTTGGTGAATGCGCTTCTGCCTGACTGCAAATAAGAACTGAACCAATGCATTCAAAAGAGCGGCCCGATTGGGGTATACTCCCCGCAACAGACTGATAAGGACCGAATAATCGAGTGGTGTGATATATCAGCCAGTCGAAATCCTCACTGAAGGTCGTCAGGGAGCTAGGGTCGCGATGTGACGGAAGACAAGCACTCACCTCTAATTCGCGTTCGTCGAACACCTGCAGCCAACTGGGTTCCACCACCTCGAAGAGTCCCTTCAAGAACGCCTCGGTTTGCTCTGCTACACCGCGAGTCAAACGCCATTCAACCATCAATCTGGAATCACAATAAACGATCAGAAAGCGGTCGATATCCATGGAAGCGAATCCAAGTAGTACTGGGTGTTTAAATGGCACGCAGATAGAAAAAAAAACAATTTCGTCATTTAACGATGAACATGACACGCATTCGATCAGACGCAACGCGCTTTTACTGCTTGGAAAACGGCCGGCGCCAAGCTCTGAACAAAGACGTTTCATGGAGTAATTAGAAGGCACAAAGAAAAACGATGAAAAGGAGAAGAAGGCTGCAGGGCATTTCGCTTTTAAATCGCATCGCGGGCGTGGCTTTAATCGCCGGGCCTAATTATTAAGCCAGGGCAGACAGAGATTCTACCTCGAATGCCTTGACCGACGGCTGTTCAGGAGTGAACCTCGTACCTGCTAGAAAGGCACGCCACTGCACACGGTAAAAGTTTGTGTAAAAGCGAAACTAACACAGTCCACAAAAGAGGCGGTTTATGCAAACTGAAAAGCGTTGGTTTTGGACAAGACGGCGAATCAATAAAGGAGCCATTGAACAAAGGACTGGGTGGCGGTGGCAGGCTACTGGCGTCAAATAGGCGGTAACGGATGAACCTTACAGCAAACGCTTCCTGGAAGGTCACACAACCGAGGTGCGGACTGCACCTTCCACACGGCAAACGAAGAAATGATTTTTTTTGCGTTAAAACGCTTCTCTTGTCTTGTCTTACCCCATATTGGAGCGATGCAATTGGCACACAGGGTTGTAGGGAAACCAAATTTGCCTAACGCTTTGTTCATATCAGGTAGATCGTCAATATGCAGTTGATCGTCTGTCAAGTTTGTCAACTCACAAATCCTTTCCAGTGGCAACAAAAAAACTGCCTGACAGATGGAATTATCAGTGACTTCACAGTTATGACAAACATCAACTGGCTTTTAACCTGACCACAGTAGTATAAACGTCGCCAGAAAGCACCTCGCAAAGCGTCAACGTTGTGAAACCCACATACTTTAGGTATTCAAGCTTGTTGGCTTCAGTGACCTTGATCTCCTTCCCGCCGGGTTTCAGCTCGTCTTCCTGCAGGGAGTCGAATTTGTAGTAGTTCCCGTTGAAGTACAACTCCAGGTCAAGCTCGTCTACGTCGTTGTCACTGCAGGAAAAACGCCATTTAATCAGTGCTATGTTCAATCAAAACACCAACTGTACACCTAGACACCGTGGCAGGACAGCAACCAACCAATAGGGAGGGGGCAACCGAGCCGTGATTCGATTCCTGCTCGTGAACATGGCGCACTAGAGCTGACAAGGGTTCTTGAGCATTAAGAGACCTTTTATGGATATTGTTTGAAATGGCACATAATACTGGGGGTTTTCATCTAATTTTAAATAAAAAGAAACACTCCTAAAGTGTGATATTTTGTGCAATAAAAGGTATTTTTGAACACCACACGCAGAAGTGTGGACTGCGAAAAGAGCCGCTAATCAAGGCTTTTAGAGCTGCGTTAAGTGCAGTTCTTTGAGTGAGTGGTTTGGCTGTTTATTTCGTTTTTGAGGAAACAAGTTACTTGCCGTATGAAGGCGAGAGATTGGTAGAAGTCGTGGTCCACCAGCTCGAGGTCCTGCAGACAAGCCTTGCGGCCGAGGATTCCCTTGTAGAAGGCGAGCGTGAAGCCGCCGTCAATGCAGCGACCGTGGAAAAGGGCCTATCAGGGGGAGTGGAGTGCTTCGTCGTGGTTAGTGGACACAATAATCAGCAGAAACATTGCACAAAGTGTTTGGTGCCACACGCGTACAATGCAGGCGCTGCATTTGAATGGAAGCTGCTATTCCGGCTCGGGAAAGCCACGTGCTAACTGACGTGGACCTGAATGGCTTACAATAGAATGACAGCACCAAATTGAGATGAATTAAGGACTGTGTTTACATCAAGTGAAGTAGGGAAGTAGGTTTTCTTTTTTAAGGAGTCAAATAGACGCCAAACCATGCTTACCAATGAGCTGGCGGATTAATTAAAGGTTTACTAGGAAGAGAGGCACAAAAAACTTCCCAAAATGGGTACAATCAGGCCCCGATCTTGTACATAAAACAGCAGGCGACGCCACATTTAAAAAAGCACACCATGCCCAATGCTTTTTTAGCTAAAAGTTCATGGTAATCTGTAATGCTGAACGTGGTACACACATCAAAACAAGAGGAACTTTGTAAAAAAAAGAGATTTCAGTTTTTTACCCTACCCCAACAACACAAAGTACGCCAAGGCCATTTAGGACTCAGAGGGCCTGAAAAAGTAACCAGTCAAGTAGTGACGGGGAAGGGAGTCACAGCAGCCGACTGGAACCGCCATACTGGAATGGGGCAGAGTGAAAAGGCAAGGACATTGAAGTTGGACTCACAGAAGCCTCACGTGAGCTCAGCCCAGACATGACGTTTGAGAGAATTTAGCGTTTTATGAACACATGAGCCCTATATAACCGGGTGGGATTTAGTTGAAACCATAAGCACAGTTGTTCGTGTGCTGAACGCACAACTACTGGAAGAGGGAGTGTTCAGTGCTAACAAGTTGGATATACCAGGCAGCGTGTTTTGTCACGAATGCACTTTTTGGACAAGCAGAGTGGTGAGCTTTTGATGGGGCAATGAAGAGGGATAAAGGGATTCCCATGATGAGGAAAACGACAAAGTATGCCACGGTGATAAAGGATACGTTTTGTGGTGAGAGCCTATTAAAAGAGGATTACCACAAACCCACCAACAATCTTCGTGGCTTTCGGACTTAAATAGCTCTGCCGCTTCCTCAGGTGGACCTCACGTCTCTGCGACAAACTTAAAAACGAAAGGCTTGTTGGAAGAGTTTACGACGTCGTGTCGACAAGCCGCTGTCCACACGAGCGCAAAAAACCCCCCAAACGAAGATGACAACACCAAACACGGAACAGCACACAACCGCTTGCTGTGTAGTTGGCGATGCCACCGAAAATGCAAGGAGTTGCTCGTGCACAGAAACTACAAATCTGAGCACAGTGCTTATTGGCCGAACTCGGCTACCAAGGGGAAATGATTGATGAAACTTGAGATACGCTAGGGCGCTTTCACGAACGCATCCAATTCTCTAACCACCGCAACTCAAGAAATGTTATTTTAAGGAGGGGAAATTTGTCAGATTATTGTGCATTGTACCAGACTAAACAGCAGAGCGAGGATATACAATTCAGAAACGGTTATTAAAAAGCGAAAGAGTAAGAAATTAACGACACAGGAAAGCGACTAGTACAAATGACTGGGTGATGTGGACCTATTGAGCATTAGAGGCAGGAGGCATATAATAGAAACCTCGAAGCAAAAAGTAGTGGCTCTAGGGGACGCAAAATGACCGTGGAATATTCACATGGGTCTTGTGTGGACTTCAAGTTTGGATTTTCACGTTCGAATACCTAACGACATAGCGATGTCAAAATAGTGCCGCCTTATTTAGGTCGGAGATGTTGCAGAAGGCAACTTTTTTTCGAAATAACGCGATGGAGTCACAACCTTATTCAAGGATTGGGACTCATGAGAATAATTTACTACGTCAATGCTAAAGAGCTGAATTTCAAGGCAGCAGTGAATTTTAACACAGCTCAGCCAAGACGATGATGGAGCTAACACCGTAACCGCTCACCTCAGTTCTTCACGTGGAATAACTTTAAGAGGGTCAAGAAGCCCACATTTCAGCTGGCCCTGAAGACTCCTACTAAAGGCGACAGGTAAAGGTGAGGGATTTGTTGCTTGTTAGCCAGTCCGAAGAAAAAAAGGCAAGAAATAGGATACCCGGAGGGAAATCTATGCAAGTTATTGCCGGGGGCAGATTAACTCGGATGAGGTTCAATGAAAAGGTTGACAAGGAATGTTAAAATCCCATAGGAAAATCAGACTGGTTGGCCACAACAATGGTCTAGAGGGGCCTCTCACAGTTGACAAACAAGTGGCATAAGGCGAATCATGTTCGAGTGTCGTAGATGCGAGGAGTCGAAACTACATCGCCTTGACATCCACTCTCGAAAAGGCAAAGGAGGAGGAATCAAACCAAAAAAACACTTCAAGCAGTTTCCTTTTAATTGCCTAATCAGGATGCAAGTAGGTCTCGTTTTAGATGCTATCAGTGATCTCTAAAAGACACTGCACAGTCAGGAGCTGAAGAGCTGGTCGTCACTTTCGAAGACGACTGTAAGTAAAGAGGAGTAGTGGCGGGCAGATTAGAGAGGGAGAGAGAGAAACATACCATGCCGATGACCCGTCCTATGAAGTGGAAGTAATCCAAGTGCGCAACGTTGGCTACGTCAGAGGCGGGGTTTATCTGAAGGGAGTAATGAGCACCAGTGTACTCGAAGAGACCGAACATGGGATTGAAGAAATCACGTGAAACTCGCAGGAACCACTCACTGCAAAGATTAGAAGAAACGTTTACAGAACCAAAGAATGGTAAATGTTGTCATGTCAAATTACCCACAAATACAAACCAATCTTACAAGGATCAAGTGCAGAGGAGCATTTGTGCTACATGCGTCTGGCGCCATTTCGCATCTACTCGACACACTAAGTGGAGGGTGGGAAGCAAGACACTCCCAAGTATTCTGACTTAAATGGACTTTACTGACTTTAGACAGACACTAGTAGCGACAGTCCACTCCGCTAGAAATCAAAGGCCTAACAGCTACGCTAATGGCGCCCTTTCAACAAAAACTACAAAGCGACACTTCACGGTCTGGCAATTCAGAAGAATAGGATCACCGGTAGTTGACACAGCACAAGAACAATGGACACGTAAAATTTACCGTTTCACAAAATATCTTGCATTTTAAAACTACTCGCGTATAGCATAACAGTGTGCGCAAGCAATTAGGAAGGTAAGTGGTAGTGGCCCGCCCATGTCGGTTAGCGCTTCAACAGTTGACTTGAGAGGGCATTTGTAGTCCATCCTCTTAAAACGCCCCAATATGTGATAGGGCATTGACGCATGCATATCCCTTAAAAAACCGATTTTTGGCTTAGAAATTAGGCGACAACGCCCGGATACTGACATCCAGCGCATTATGATTTAGATGAATTATAGATGATCTGAGTCATAATATGAACGTTCTTACGACGAAGCGCTGGGAATAGACCTAGATCTAGGAGCAAAACAATTAAGCGCATGTTTTTATTGATTGCAACAACAAACCTGCTTGGACTTCCACAGCACAACAGCCCACAAACTTAGAGGCAAGGTAATTCGAAAGGCATTACCGCTTGATACCAATGCAATTCAAAGCTACTGCGCGGGGCTCACGACGGGGAAACAGTATCCCACTACCCCCCCCCAACCGAAGCTGATTTTCGGAAAGCAGAAAGAATTGGTCTCAATCACCTTAGCTATTCTAGCTTAAAGCCTCATATTTAAACAATGGAAAGATTCCAGCGTTGGTACTGGACACAACACACAAAACCACAGAGCTCCGAAGTAGCCTCAAAAATGAAAAAAAAATGCATAATCAGTTTCTTCAACCCTACTCGGCTATTTTCTGAGGATGTTGGGAGAACACACACACCAAAAAAAAATAAACCATGAAAGCTAATTTGCAGATCGCCGTATTTCTACAGTGATTGACTCGACTACAGGTGAATAAAGTGTGCGTATCTGGCATTGCCTCGTTTGTGATAGCGGATTTTACAGACCGCTAACTGGAAGAGTTGTACGGCAGTGCCAGCAGCTACAGACACCGTGGAAATTGAGTTGAAAAACGCAGCAAACTGATGCAGCGCTTCTAAAAACAAAAAGGGACATAACTTGGGTCAAATCGCTGTAGAACAAAACAACACTTAACCATCGGGAGAAATCACAAATTGGGGTTTAAAGGACCAAATTGGACTCCCACATTTTCCAACTTACTCACATAAGTATACACAACCTAAAACAAGATACGACAAGATCTTAGCGACTGCGCCTTTTCCTTTATTACCTTCACAATTGGCATTGCTATCGCGATGACACGACAAGTCTTTTTTTACAAATAACTAAGTGAAGGTATTTAAGTCTCAGGCAAGTACAAACAGCGATAATCTTCGCTTTAAAAGAATTCCTAAGCCAGTCCGACACGATTTGCAGAAGCAAACAACTCGGTGGAGAGATTTAAAACCACAAACCTCTGCTGTTGCGGTTTGGACGCATAAGTCGACACTTATCGTCACCAGACGACAACGCAAGTCGGTGGCGTTGAAATGGACACACACACACACACGCACACGACCCCCCGTCCGCCCGTCGGCCGAGTTAAAACTTGAACATCTGACAGTGTGGGTATTAAACAGGTGATCGAGAAGCCGTTATAACCACTTTAGCATCAAGCAATGGGGCTGCGTCAAGTCCAGAACCAAAAACTCAACTTGGCACTAATCACGAGAAGAGGAGCAATGACCTACAACCCACTGGTTGAAACAAAGCTACAGAACGTCCTCAGAGTACTGCATGAATTCTTGGCCCAAACGTGCATAAGCATTGCGCTTAGGACACTGAACAAGCGGGAAAATGCAACTGCGTTCTTCTTAGTGACTGGTGGCTCCAGCTTTAACAAAGAAATAATTATTGCTTGCAAACGAAAGCCCACCGTTAAGTCACTGAGAGGCTTAATAAAGACATTCGTTTCAGTGACCAATGGCATATAATAACGCTCAGATCAGACTTTCTAAAGAAAAAAAAACATTTGAATGTTTGCCGACGTGCACTGGAACAATGTTTGGAGCTAGTTGAAAGCAAATGCTGGCCGTAGGCATTAAGAAAAGGATGCTTGCAGAGTGGAAAAGTACCAAACCTACCGTGCAATGCCTCCGTAGTCTAGACCCTCTTCGCCTAGGAATGTGATGCACAGTCGCTTGCGCAGATCGGATGCAGGAAGACGCTGAATCTGAACACAAAACGGAGAAAGGAGACGCTTGTTACCATGAAAACTGCTCAATATTGAGAAAAATGAACTACCATCACTGTAACAAAGGACAAAGATAGAAAAAACTGATTTGTGTGAAGCTAGACCCTAATTACCGCATGTGGCGCTTCACTCTTAGCAAAATCCACCTTTGTAGTCTTCACTTTGTCTTCAAATGCGGCTGAAAAGTCAGCGGGGCTCCGTATGGCCACGAGCGGTAGAAAGCATTAAGCTAAGAGTGAAATAGGCCTAGTGGTTTTGCTTATACGCTGGGCATAAAAGTGCGCAGTCGATCAGCCCCAAAGTCGACCGTATTTGAAACATCTTTGGAGTTCATAGGCAGAAGCTGACACAAGCTATTCGCGCGCTTCCCCCGTTGCAGTTGGCGACAATTACTCGCTGCAAATCACCAAAGCTAGTTGTGCAATTGTGCACATAATCTGCGCTGAGGTGCGAATCTCAAAAATATGCCTTTTGGCAAAATGTAGTGTCTCGGCTGAACCCAAGGACAGTTCTACACCCAGCAAAAGCGCTAAAATAGGCTACAAGGCAGGCCAACCTGTTGGAAGGACTCCTCCAATAGCCCGTCTCGAGAAATGGACAGTTTGACGTGCCCGCTGAGCAGATGGGATGAGCATTGAGCCCTGAAGTAGGCCAGCTTCGCCCGAAAGTTCCGCTCGTACTGCACCGGCACACCCATCGAACCCAGGGAGCTGAGAAAAAAAGGGACACGCGGTTAGAAAGACTAACGGCAGCTCGAGTGACTGCGTCCATCGGTGGACAGGGTCTGAGAGTCACAAAGCACAGCTTCTCGACCTCAAATCACAAACACATGCTCACACCTGTTATGAGAGAAAATAAAGTTATCCAAGATTAAATATAGCATTAGGGAAGAGTGTATATATCAGGCACCGTCGTAGGGATTTTCTCGATCCAGAATACCACAACGCTGGCTCTGGGTAGTGGCAACTGGGGTCAGCAGTTAAAGATGGCTTGGCTTAGAAGTTGGTCAGAGGCGTGAGCTGACGTAAATTTACACCAATTTGCAAAGTTAAAGCAGCGCAAGCGTTTGATATCCATTACAAAGCGGACTTAAAACAACGACTAGCACAGAGGCACAGACAAAATTGAGTACTCGCCGATTGTGGTAAAGAAATGTGTAGTCACAGAACTGGTGAGAACACACAGCTATTAGTAGCGAACGAACATTTGGAAACATGACATGCTAAAGACGATATGATAGATTTTTCTTAAAACAGAAGGCAGTGTTTGCATGACGAGCAGAATTGGCTTTTGGAGGACGACTTTTTGTTTGTCAAGCGTGAATAATTGATGACCTCAGATGCTCAGGTGGTTTGTGATGTTGTATTGCGCCATGGGATCTCATGAGACGACACAGGCAAGAGGCGAACCCCCAACTGCAGTGTTTGAGGGCCGCTGAACCGGCGGCAACGTGCCGGACGTCAATTATTAATCACACCACACACTGAAAGAACCTAACCAACGCGGAGCAAAGAGGGGACTTGTGGATGAAACGCAGACGGGAGAGTGAGCGCAGCAAAAAATGGCTATTTCACCGCTTCGATTCACGCGCCGATATACCAATACAACTCAATTCAGTTTAGCAAAAGGGCAATTCAAATATGGGAGAAGCGACAAAGATTGTATCGCGAAGCATTCACTTGAAAACAGAGCATTCGTGTAAAGCGTTTCAAATAGCAAAACGAAGCCTAGGCAAAAGGCTGCTTAAAATTCCGAATTCAATTTGGACTTTTAACACTTTTTGCATGTACAAGTCTTGCGTTTAGAGTTGTGCGGTTTCGGCATGGCTGACCTAATCGGCACAGGATGAATATGTAAAAATGTTAACCTGACAGCTATGAGCTTACACAACCCAGGAGCATGACCTGCAAATAACTCCGGGGTGACGTTTCACTAGACTGCCGGCAAAAGTCACAAATTCTATGTTGGCGACACATACGAGAGCAAACAAACCACATTTGTGAACATGCAAGGTGGGCCAGAGATTGACACGTGAATTTGCTGATCTACGATACTTCCAGTGGACAAAAACAGGGAAGCAAAAAGTCATATCCCACCTGAGGTGTTTTTGGCAATAAAAGTCAAGTAAATATATTTTTAATTTGAGGTGCCCATGATTCCAGAATTGGTGAAACAAGCGAGAGTTAGAGCGCCAACAGAGACGCCTTTTGAGTGAGTCAAGACAAGCTCGGTGGTGGATTACCATAAGGTGCTACTGACGGTATTTTTTTTAAAAAAAAAACAACCGACAGAGGAGATCGAGCGGTCAGACAGAGCTGGAGCAATTTGCAAACCCGCGGTCCAGTGCCTGGTACTTGGTGGTGCGCTACGTTTTCTAACTACCAGGTCTTTCAGTTGGTAATCTGTAAGAGAATACACACCCAGAATGAGGCTGAAGGGTGCATCAGCTGGCCTAGAAAACAGTGGGAGCATTTGCGGGAGGGGGAGGGGAGGGAACCTAGGTTCACCAACTACTAGAACACATCTCCACTCGGTTGGAAATATTTTGCGTGAAATCCATGCAAGCCCGTAAGTTAAATATAACACTTCAGTCTAGCCGCTCTAGCAAAGCAAATAAACACGCTGATTTGTGTGTTTAGCAGCAAAAGTGCAAGGCCGTTTCTGGGGCACATGTCTACCTTCCATCTGTCTGCACGTAGGCGGGAGGTGTTCGGAAATCGCACACAAACCCTACCATGACTGCCTCAGGTTGTGAAAAAAAACGGCCGGAAAGTCAAGGGAAAGGGCGTGCGAACACAAGTGGAGCTGTAAATCTTTGTAGTGGAAGTGTAAGGCCTTCACGAAAACGCACTCAGGCCGAACAGAGGGCTGTGTCAGGGGACATTCTTGTGCATTCTTTGAGATGTGCTAAATTTAAGGCTCTGAGACGATACAAACACACACACACACACACACAAATTATTTTGCGTCATTGTGGCAAGGACGCATGAAATGCGATTATACACAAGCTTTGGCGCTCATTCAAGCCGCCTTAGTCCCTAAATGCACGAATTCCATTAACGCTTGAACCCCTGTGGCCCACAAAATACAGACTGATTTATAACAGAAGCAAATCTCTAGTCTCTCTCAAAAAATGTGCATTACGTCAACACCAAAGCATCTTCGCCAGTACGTACACTTATTTTTAACATAAGTAGTCTTATGATGGTTGAATATCACTTTGATTTGAAGGCCCAGAGGATAGTCCCACTTGCAAGGCCTACAACACGCGCTACTTTAGTTCATTAAGATTGAAATAACCAAGCACGAATTATGACGGCTTGAAAATCTGGCAAATTTTCCTGTGTGTCCTACGGGATGGGACGCACGGTCAGCACTCGTAAAACATGGTGAGGAAACCTCCGACAAAAGTATTCCAGCATTTTCTTTAAAAAAACGACCACAACTACATGATCTTTGCCGTAACTATTCCCCTGACACTCAGGAAAATTATTTTTCGTGCCAAAAAAGAGAGTACGCAAAAAGGGCCTTTTAGGTTTAAAAGTGTAGAATAACGCTCGCCAAAGAAATATGGCTGTACACAAAGGCGTTGCTCGCAGCAAAATACAGCGTCGCTCACTTAAAGTCAGTCAAGTGAAGGCGGCAACCTCTGAGTTTCTACTGACATTAGAGCCACTTGACGCCCAGTGGAGGAACGTCCACGACTACGGACAGTGTTAAGCTCTGTTCATTACACGTCAAGAGTCGTTATTTTGAAAAAGTGTGAGTAGAATGTGGCTACACTGCTGTCGGTATATACCTCACACTAGTAAGCCTTAACATCCAGCAGAGTGGGCAGGAGAATTCGGTCCGTAAGCAGTGGCTTAGAATTCGAGAAGTGCTGCCGTAAATGCACAATCTTGGCCAGCACAACAATCAAAGAACCGAGTGCTTTACACCGCAGTGTCCCATTGCAAACTCTACAGTGACAATTCTACTTGAAGCAAGGTAAACTGTTAATGAATAGGAACTCATTAGAATTAACATTTTTTTGGAAGAAAGAAATGAAAATGAGGCCATATGGCGGTCGCTTTCGAAGGGATGACGAAAAGCGGCGATGACGAATGAAAGCAAATTATACCAGAGCAAAAACTGCACAATTTTGCGAGGCAACTGAAGCCCCATTAATTGATAGAAGTTGAAATTGATAGAAGTGGAAATGGAATCTCTTTAGACCGGAAGAACAACAAATAATCGATGTTTTCCTAGAATTTGCATCACTTAAAAGGAAGGATACACAACCACATTGCCGAATTTTTCGAAAAAACCAACCGCCGAGCGGAATAGCAACTCGGCATGAAGCACGAACAACCCCGCGACAGCAGGATGGGCACAGGAAAGTTGTTAGACAACTTTTTGGTTGAGGGAAAAATGGCGGCGTGAGGAAAAGAAGGTAGAACCGATAACGATAAGGGCTAAAAGGAGGCGCGTGGCGACTCCTTCGGGGTTGGAAACAAGGCCTAGTCAGTTAGTCTGTTTCGGCGAAGCGGGCGTGCGAGTATGCGACCAGCTCACAATTACGCAGGATAGCAAAATTTTGTAATGAAACACGAAACATTCCACATGTGATTCACTCACACGTCCGACGCTAACGTCCGACCGCAAACGAGAGCTTGTGAATCGCATCCGCGTTTGTCCCCAACAAAAGCCTGCTCGATTAACCAATAGGCTTGTCTTTTTACCCGCATCTCGACATTTCGCTACATTCCAGATGTTACAAGCAGTTTAGTTTTTAACCAAAGCAGTTCCGATTATTTGTGTAGTAAAGTCTGTTGCATTTATTCATTCCAATTCTTGACTTGAGACTTGGGTCGATTTTGTTAAAACTCACGTACGACTCACACCTCTTCGCAAACACGTTAATTCCAGGTGAGCAACGTCGCCATTTAGCTGAACTTTGTGATCAGCAGTTCCCCTAGCTGCGGAAACACCCTAGGGAGTATCACGCAGGTACGAAAGAGCAAGTGAAGGTGTCAACTAACCCCGCGTGCTGGCCAGTTCGAGGGTCGATGAAGGTGGTGGTGCGGTTGTTGTGGTCGATGAAGTAGCGCTGGCCGGCGGCCGTGTAGCGCTTCTCCCAACCGGGCGGCAGAGGCCGGCTCTCGTCCATCCCGCGCTCTCGCGGGTCCTCCCACTGCGTGGTGCAGTTCTTGTGGTTCACGAAGTAAACGCGATTCGTGTGCGGATCCAGTCTGCGCTCTAAATCGGACACGCAAATTGGCCAACTGTGAGCGAAGCAAAAGTTGCGTTTATCCGCATTCCCTAGGTGGGAGCTATTAAACAACTTCACGATGCGAGTAAACCTATTACAGTATCCTAATGATAGGTAAATGACAGAATTGGTACAGATTTTCCAGTAGATTTATTGAATACAAAAAAAGGAGAACAAATAACTCAAGGTCGGAAATATTGTCCATCGTTTTTTCATGACTTTTTCTCATCTCTCAGGTAACGTACGAATGCCGTCGAGAAAGAAACCTGCAGGCTTCGAGACAATAAATTTATTGGCGAATTTACGCGCATCGTTCAGCGTTTTAGGAACTGCCTATCCACTAAGGCGTGCTGCCTTGACTGCAACAAATGGCAGTCGGATGAGGCCAAATCTGGTGACGGTGCCGCGTGCGGGAGAACTCCCCATCCCATGTCGCGCGAACAACGTGAGGTCGAGGGTTGTCATGCGACAACAGTATGACAAACCCGCTTCCTTGCCCAGTAAATGGCCTTTGCGATCTCTGGCCTCTTCGGTCAGTTTGTTCAATTGTGGGCTGAAGCGTTTCGCAGGCACCACCTGACGACCAGTTTCCAGAAGTTCGTAATAAAGTACACCCTTTATGTCCAACAGCCGGATACACAGGAGAGCCTTCTTCTTCTTCTTTTCCAAGTGGATGCCCTGTTTCGCCGTCCATGTACTGGGTTGTCTGGGGCTTACCCACAACACTGTTTTGCGTCTGGGATTCCCGTACAAAATCTGGTTTTCATCACACGTCACAGTGTTCTACTAGGCGTTCTTTTTTGATGCCGATGGGCAAGCAGAGAAAGGTGTGGGTTCATACGCTTTTTGAACTTTTCCCGTTTGGTTTAAATGCTTCGGATTAGCTGTTTGGGTGACTCCTAACTGAGCTGCAGGCTCGTGTTACGTTTGCGCTGAGTCGACAGCCAGTAGACATTGCAATTCCGCGTCCTAAATCTTTTGAGGCTGTCAGAGGCGTGGCTGGTTACTAGGATCAAAATCACCACTTCTAAAACGTTTGCACCAATAACACCGTTGACAGCAAGAATACTACAAATTGATTTCCGTGCTTCGGACGCATTCGTATAAAATGCAGTGCCACCGAATGCGATGTTTACCAGTTACCATTGCAAATTCTGCTATTTTGAGAGGTTAATTAACTCACGTAGACTTGTCGTTCGGAGTTCTGACACCTTGCTTCCGATTCTTTACAAGCCACGAAAGACCGCGAAAATATTTAGATTTTAATCCAATGTTAAGCTCGAAGAAAGAAATCGTAAGAATTAAGTCATACAGCTGATGCATTTTACATTCCACAGACGAAGACGCATCGCTTGCATCAGAATGTACGGGAATCCATTCAGATGTGTCCAGTAAAAAAGAGATTATCCAAAATACAACAAGTTTGCACTTGAGATCGACTTGGGTTGCAGACGCCTAAAGAGCACTCACCCCATCCTTCCGGCAGGGCAGTGTTGTCAACACACGACACTTCAGAGCGCGGACTCTCCCTCTGCCGTCCGGATTCACTTGCACCATCCGACCAATCAGAACGGGGGAGACGGAGGTTGGGTTGAGCAGCGCTGCCCCATCTCGAGTGGGTCGGCTCTGGGGTCAGTGGAGGTGATGGATCGAAAAGGACACGGATCATCTCAGACCAAAAGTTGCTTCCAGTGATGGCGTGTTGAGAACGGCTCCTGCGACCACCGGTGGTTTCGACTGCGGGGAGTGCGACAGCACCGTTCCTTAAAATACAATATTGCTACTGACAATGTGTTAGTAACGCCAATTATATGCGCAGAGGCATGGCATGGCTTTTGGATCGCACAATACATTGTAGGTAGTCCAAACTAATGACTAAAACGAAATAACGAAAGATCTAACCAAATCAACAGTCAAAATGATGGGGTTTTCTATTCACTTGTTAAAAATGTACCCTAGACTCATGAAGTAGAGTAACGGTTCGCAAATGCATTAACACTGACTTTCAGGCAGATTGCTGGTGCTTGCAGGTTTTCGAGCATGGACTAGAGCCAAACTAAGAGCAACACACTTTGTTATGTTGCTGAGGCGATTAGGTAATGGCCTGGACCAAATCACGTATCTTCACGCCGTTGTGGCTTCGCTTAAGTAACGCAGACACGGCCAAGATTAAACACACCACCTAATCGTCTCTTCAGAGCCACGTCTGCGGATAAACTTGGGGCCGGATAAATTTTACATACAATCTGATATCTCACTGATTCAAAAACTGAGTGAGATTGTTGTGCTAACACTAATTCTCCAAACGTGGCACATCGTTAGGTTTAAATCCACTGAAACACGATATTGTTGTTCCCAAGACTAAACAACACTTGATAACATTACTGTGAGGTGTGAGTTCAAGTATGAGTCCAAAGTGTTGTCGCAGTTCTTCGGTGGTGTAGCTTACAAACAGGACTGATTAAACACTAAAATTCTTTTTGTGTCCAGCAAGTCGAGAGAAGTAGAAAAAGGCAAACACTACTGACGAATATTGTGCCTTTACACATCGAATATATCCACTGGTACACATGCTCCGATAACTATTCCAAGTGGATTCACGTTTCTGCGGTGTTACTGCAAAAAAAGCCAATTGACGAAGTGTTGCATTAAGGTCAGAAGCATAATCGGCTCATCAAGCCATGATGCTAGGTGCATTAAGCAGACTATGTAGTCAAAATCTCTTGGCTGGCCAGGTGTGTGGTGGAAATAGACTAAGCTTAGTATTCTTCGTCAGCAGTCATTATTTAAGAAGACACCAGGTTAAAGTAGCTTGGTAATTTTGGCGGAGAAAGCAAATATGACCTCTAGATAAAATAATGGTTGCGAGTTCGTAAAGCGTCCCACTACGCGTAAACTATAATACAGACCTTACAGTAAATGAAGAACACTAGGACTTACTCCGCACCAGGAGTTATTCCTCGTATTCCTCCTACACTGTGCCCACTCGAAAAATTCTAAAAATACACAAGACTTAGTAATTAATACGCGGGGAATGACATGACCTGCTAAACCACATCTACATGCGTAGTCTTGTTGAATACTTAAAATGAGCTAGTATTTGGGGTAAAAACATTAATTTTTAGGACACCATTGAATTGGTCGTAAAATAGGATTAATACAGTAATATCACTCAACGTTCATTACTTTGGAAAATAAAAAAAGGAAATACTGCGATAAATTTGAATCAGTAGTAATTGGAGTATATGTCGGCCATTCTTTTCCTTTCGCTTAGCATATTTATGAACAATGCGTAACGATGGAACATGAAACGAAGCACTTAGCGGAGTGTCCTTTGAAATACATAATCGATACCCTGTGTACAATTATCAAACTTACCGGAACTATAGATTCTTCAAGTGAGGACTGTTCTGCGTCAGCTGATAGGGGCGGGAATGCCTCAATGTCGACTTCCAGTGGACCAAAATTTACAGTGAGCGTGCCAGTGATCAGGCCTCTCTTAGTAATTTGGATAGTGAGGCAACATAAAGGAACTAAGAACGTAAACGTGAAGATGAAATCAGTATACCTTTTCCGTCATGGGAATCAATAATAGAATACACGTCAAGCTTGCCCTCGCCCAAAAGGATATTTGGGCCAAACTTGACGACCTGAGTAACTTTAAATTGCAACAGAGAATAAGGTCTAGTTATAACGGAAGAAGTGTGTTCCCATAACGGCGACCAGGACTTCACAGATGTAGGAGTTTTAAAATTCAATTTCCCGTCAACAAATCCTTCTACGTACATCCGTACACCAGTTGTCGGGCCGGATCGATTCTGAGGATTTATGGTCACTTGTTTGACTATAAAATAATGATACAGACTACGAAAGCTTACCTGAAACATTTACTTGAAAAAGGCCTGCTCCATGCGGCATAGCTATCCATCTATCAAATTTACACCAGGCACTTAATTTAAATTGGCACCAGATAGGCTATAACTAATGAATAAATTTATTGTGGATAAAAGTGACAAATAAGACCAGCCCAGATGTTTTAAAATCCCCGCACAACCAAACATAAAATCAAATTACTGCATTGTTATAACAAGGTCGCAGATTGTAAGTTTAATAGAAGCTTTGTTATAATTGTTGTTACTTAGCACATTTTGCTTTCTAAGAACTGCGCATGTGATTTATTGTGCGTAAAGGGAAAAATTAAGTGAGAGGACCGCTCAACTAAAAATAGTTTACTTCATAAAAAAGGAGAGGGCATTGGATAGGATCGATTTACGTTACAGACCTATATAAAACGATATGTCATAACAATAAGATTAAAATTTGCTTTACTACTGTTCTCGTCCAACTTGATTTGTTTTTGGAAGAAATCCATAATTTTATTTATGGATCACTACATAACATTCTTTTATTTGATTTGCATTAAATGACTAGGCAAATCTTGATCTGTAACACTTGTGCCTTAAATTTAGCTAAAACATTAATAATAAATCCAGCTGCTGACATCTGTCAAAACAACAAACGTGTCTGTGTGAAGATTTAAGTGATTTACAATCATCTACCTATTTGGCTTTGTCATCAGCTGAACTTATTATGATGTATGAAAATAAATAATAGCTTTCTTAATTTCCTTTAGTTCATTAATTTATAAAAAGATGATTTTAAAAAAAAACCATACCTCGTAGTCACTAAGAAATATACTTTTCAATTTTTGCCTGACACAGCTAAGGAAGCATTGTTCTCACTCTTTCATTCCAGGCATTGTTTTTAATATGCTTATCTTTAATGACACTGCAATCTAATAAAAACTCTACTTACCTCTTATTTTAAAACTCAATCTCCATTTCGCTTTAAGGGGACCATACACTGTGTAAATGAAATCAGACCACATAGAATTTTTTGTGATTTGGACAAAATATTGCTTTTTCCAATGACTGTGAAAAAGTCCGAAGTTTTTGACAATCTATTAGGCATCTTTTTGTGGCTTCGTTCTTAATTAACCGAAGTCTCACGGAGTTTGAACATGTAAATCGCTTGCTTACAATTAGTTATTATTAAACACTAGACTGCTTACAATAAGGCTACGATAGCAAGGTCAAAATGAATCTTAGGAATAAAGGTATCCCGGGAATTAATTTTGAAGAACGCAGTCAAAGCAATTAAAAATCAATTGTATAGTGAGATTTCATGACATGGAAACAAATGTGTTCAGTTTTGTCTGCATAAAAAGAGAACAATATCAATCTCTTAATGGCACAAAGCTTACCAAAATTTTCTGTCAAATCTTCAAAATGCGATTATTCATCTAAGGATGCCGTATCAATGCAATCACATAACCAAGCTATAATTCGTGGTACATTAGTATATCAAACCCTATTACTAAAGCCATTTTGATGTCTGACACCAGAATTTACCTGTCATTGGTTTTATAGGTTTTTTGCGTGTTTAATGCAAGCAGTCGTCAGTAGCTTGCATTTTTAACTGAGTTACATGTATCCCAATGTCGTCAATGTTAAAGGCAGTGATATATACCAACTTATGTACAAACACTTATTTAAAGCCCAATGGGATTCATTAAAACTTGCTTTTATGCATTTTTTTGTTTCGTACTTTTTATTACAAATGTCAACTCTACCTCTGATCTTGGACATTGAGATTTGTAAAGTGGTTTACTGTGGAGCATATATAAAATGACTGTTAAGTGCTTCTGCTTAATCACAGGGTAACAGCAGTCCGTCTGGAAGATAATTTCCAATAACTGCAAAAAAACAACCTGTTTCATAAAAAACGAAACTATTTCCACAGACGCAAACACTTTGAATTAACATTTGCGTTTTTGCAATGTAGAAAGTCAAAAAGAATAATTAAAACAAGCATGCTAAAATAAAATAATTAGTCCCTATGATTCCCTACAAAATTTACTGTTACAAATTTGTAACGATGCATCGTAAGAATTCCATACCGGCAAACGTTCGAGCGCTTAAATCTTCAAAACTTATTAAGGGTTACTGCCGAGGAAAACTCACTCGATTACAGGTCAAAACATGTTACAAGTTATATATCGCATTTCGAAAATTCTGCAATTTCATTTTTTATTGTAAAACAATGCTTTATTCTTTTGGCATAGATACATCTGAGAAATGTTTAATTAATAAAAATGTGTAACCAAAACAGCTAAAAAGAATTGCCCATAATAAATTATTGAAATATTAGAAACCGGTTCAAAGACGGCTTTTTATTGATCGTACACAAAAAATGTGGTTGCCATGGAATTTTACACTTGGAGAACAAAAGTAAAATATTGATTTCATCTAGTTGCTTCAGATTGTTTTTTTAAATGTTTTTGTTTGCTGTCTTCGATGCAAAAATAAAATAAATTGACAATAAATTTGTCTTCTGGAGTTACTTTGAACACTTAACCCTACGAATAAAATTTCTCTTCAGCCAGACGTTAAACTATAAAACAATTTGACATATTTTTACTTGCTTTTTTATCGTATGTAAATTTTTTACAAATAGTCTGGTGACGGTTCTTTGAAATAACCTAGTTCTGATCATAAACAATTTAACGAAGCGCGTCTAATGTAATGCATAAGAGTTTTACTAATCGTTCCCTAGATGATTTTAAACGATATTTAGCGGTAGCTTTTTTGAGAATACAATGCCTTGACTATCTGCATGACGTCCGGGTTAATGATAATGATGATGATCCCGTCAATTTCTGTGTCGCATATCTGTATGTCCGTTTGGAGATGGAGCCTGTGTTCGTGAAGTCCTTGCCCTTTGCAAAAATGATCGTGCATGCTTCAAAATATCCGCATGCAGCAGTGAACGGGATTCTTTTAGGTGAAGGGGGTGGCAATGGTGTGCTTACTATTCATGAGTGCATTCCTCTCTTCCACGGTTGCTTGACATTAACACCAATGCTTGAGGTTGCTCTTTATCAGATTGAGGCGTACAGCGATACAAAGAACCTTAAGATATGTGGCTATTATCAGGCTAATGAATTATTAAACTCAAATTCGTAAGCCTGTTTAGCATGGCTCAGAACTTTTAGGATTAGCCCAATTGCAGTAAAGATCGGTGACAAAATACTGGACAATTGTGAATGCGCGTGCATCATAATTGTGAAGAATGATCGAATTAAGTCTCTCTCTGTGGACTGTCTTTCCGTTTATTTTAACCACGACGGAAAGTGGCGTGAGTCCAACAGGCATGGCTGATTTTTTACTTTACCATTTTCCTGTAGCATCAAGTTAGATAGCTCCGCCGCTGATTTTCTTAAGCCGCACCTAAATACGCAAAGCATATCAGAGTTTGCTGACTTTGACAATCATCTTGATGACATATTAATGGATTGGCGGAATGTAGGATTTTCTCACGTCGATGACAGCGGTGTCGAGGTGATCAAGTGATTATGTCCGTCTCATGAATCTTTCTTTGTGTGGTTTATTACATTATTTTATTACTTTTGCAATGTCGGTTGCATTTTTGAATTGCACACTTATCTAGTTTTCTTTGTTTTTAATCAACTGAGCAGTTGTTTACTGCATTACGCTACAATTTGTTGAACCTGGCGGCAAATTTTAGTAATAGAGAATTCCGCTTTGCAAATAATTTTGAGCAACTTCAAACTTATGTAAATATGTAAAGCAAAAGAGGAAATGAGTGTTTTGTAAAGTTAAAATGCAGCCCTCCGTTTTCCGATTTCATTTAACTCGAGACGTTCCTTTGGGTTCTGTCTGCCACTTTTTGCTTTGAATTTTGGTTGTCCTTTTTCCAAAACCTAAATTCACCAATGAATATCGCCAAAATGTTTGTCATACACACATACACAGCGCCTTCATTATTATTGAGTCTGGTCGGCGGAAATGGCTTACCCTTTGTCCTGCCAATTCACTACTTCCCTAGGCATGTTTTCCTGGTGTTTTTAGTTTTGTTGTATCATACTTAACTTGCCTCTAGTATTTCCTTGAGAGACGATTTTTAATAATGGACGTTAATATTAAGCGCGTGGCAGCCGAAAATCCCCAGTTTCTGTACAGGGTTTGAGCATTGCTGAGGTGAACCAATCAATGAACGTGCAAAGTCCTAAGGTATTTGTGAGTACTGTGAGTAGGTAATCTGCGATTCAGGTTGCTTGTAACAGGTGGTTTTGTATATCACAATTGTGGCCCTGCGGCAGTCAGACTACAACACAAAGACTAATGTTTTGCAGTGAAAAAATGCAAATGACAAGGCCCGGTTGGTGCATGGGAGTGCTTTTGTTGTCCTCCCGGGACATTGTGCATGATGATCACCATTTACGAAACATGAACTTGCTAAGTTTGGCGATGTTCTTTGCTTCGGAGCTAACTTCTTTCTGTAGATCGAGCAAACAATGTGAGGTGGTACGTGCTCTCTGTTGAGACCTCTTGTGCGCCATCATTATTTTGGCCGAACTCCATTTTTTCTTTTCTCTTAACTTCACAAATTTACTCGATGTCATTCACCTGTGTCATAAGACTAAGTGCCATTATTATTATTATAAATTTTAGTATTTATTAAACTTTGGTGGCCTTAAATACATCTACGCAGTTCTGAATGATTCTCTAGGCAGCAACGTATCGATCAATGGGCAGTTCGCGACGAAGATAGCCTCTAATTTAAGAAAGGTAACCTTGTTGTGATTAGGCACCAAGAAAATCCAATAAGAACTCGGTGGTAATGTGTGAAGTCGACGGGTTGCTACCATCTTGACTCGTGGAGCGTTTTTTTAATGTAAGCTTACAAGACTCGTCACGGCGCATACTGTCACCGACAGGGTCAAGCGTGGTAACTAATACGACTCTCTGAAAACTCGATCCCAAAACACCGCCTTTTTCGTTGCAGATGTGCACTTCGAAAGTTCTTTCTGTTCATTCGCCTCAAAGTAGACTTCAATGCCTGATTAAGATTGTGTTAAAAGCGGAATTAACTGTCATCCGTAACACTAGTTGAATTCCCAATCTGAAAAACGGACTTTAGTCCACTCTAATGCGGGCCGCGTTCTTTCCCTGTAATTTTGCGGTGCAGCATGCATTGTGAATAATTCAATTTCCGTACATTTCTTGTGCACGGACATGCCGAAACAAATTGATAAATGGACCGGATAATCCGACATTTGGAATTAATTTCACCAACACACCAATTTGGATTTCTGCTTGCACCATCTTCATGAATTTTCCTCTCAATTTTCTAATGTTGCCAATAATTTTGCTATTTGAGTCCATTGCCTGCAACCTTCCCCAAGCTGTGGCTTGGTTGTCGACGTCTTTCTCTATAAAGTCCTTCACGAAACACGGGTTACGCAAGTTCTTTATCGCATTCAGAATTATGTCCAAATAGGTTAAGGGTGATAAAACAACCTGTTTATGTAAGCATCCCTTCTTGTCTATTCTAATTCGGAGCACCAGTTCACGTTCGGCACTCATGGCGTACGCCAGCAGGCTGTGGATGAGGCCTTCAGGACCTTGCCTGCTCCTCATTAGTTGCGGTATCCCCTCACCAATCCTAAAGCACGCGTGGTTTGAAACTGCTAGCGATGCACATCAACGCAAGACCTTTCCAGCAATGTTTTAATGGGGCCTCTGTTTTACATCCTCATCGGAATGGATTGGCATCACCTGAGACGAAGACCTCGTTTTGTGGCTCTTGATTGTTACCCACTAATTGGCTCTGAAGTTTTTGTTGTATTGCGATGACGCGGTCCACCAAACTTTTAATTAAATCACAATAAACCGAATAAGTTTTCACATTCCAGGCCATTGTCTGTGTTCCATCCTTCCCGGCATTTACGTCTTCCCAACACCCAGCCATTTTTCAAGTCATGCGAATGTTTTCTGCTTTTATTACGGATGTGGTGCTGCCACCTTCCAAGAGCAGCCCTTTTGGCTGTCTTGTAATTTTCCGCCTCCACAACACTCAAAACGGCGCATCCCCACCACTTTGTCCAGAAAATTAAAAGACTCAAGGCACTAGGCCCCCGGTTGTGGGGCTTGATTAAGTGGCTGTTAGTTTCATTCGCTCTGTAATTAATTCAAAGGATTTGTACTAAGCGCTTTGGTGAAATATGCAGTAATCTTTCTTCTGGCTGACTTCTTCATGCGCATAACCAATCCGTTGGACGGTGTGAATGGTTACGTGTTTTGCATCATTGGACACAAAAAGAAATCCATAAAGGCCAGGTTCTAGTAAACTCCGAAGCAAACAACACAACGTTAGAACGACCAATTCGAATAATATTTGACTGGCCTGCGTATTTGGCGGATTTCAATGTGCACGAATTTCCTCAGGTATTTGTGGAATCGAATGTGCTAGGGTTGACTTGGTGGGCGGCCAAACATCTAGGGCTAAATATTTATTTATTTGCAGTTTGTGCTCGCTTTTCATAGATGGCAGGGGCTTCCACTTTGACTGTGCTAATGGTTGTCTAAATCCGACGTGTGCCAACATAAATTGTATGCAGGGTTAATATACTAAACTGCAAATGAAAAACTGAACTTTTATCATATTATTATGTGTGTTTAAAAAAGAAAAACATGTTACAATGGCAGCACAATACTCAAGGTGTTTGTTCAGAATGGACAGTCAGGAATTGCTTTAGTCGATTTCCAAATGATGGCTTCAGCTTTAAATCATCGAAAATGTCTCGATCCGTGATTTAGTTCATGGTAGTAATCCATGGACTACCACTGAAGATGTTATAGAGAGCCTTAACGTTGCCAGTTCAATTCCATTTCGTCACTTAGAGCAACTTCGATACTCGTCGAAATTCAGCATATGAGTGCCGCATATTTTGACGGAAATGAACAAAGTAAACCATGTTTCCATAACAGTTTTTTCTCCTCGTGCGTCAATAAAATGAACCTTTGCTTGATCATTTCATTGCTGGATAGAAAACCTAGTTTTGTGTGTAACAACATTACAAGACGCAGAAGCAGCTAGAAACGAGAAACTACATGAGCAGAATCTAGGACACACAGGCTGATGTGCGTCCAATGGAAGCATTGTAATCAGCCTGCTAGAAGGATCGCAGAAGAACAACTGTTTCCGAACTTATTCCGTGTGGGTAAACGGTAACTGCAGAGAAGCACTACAAGGAGCTCACACAAATCAATGTTGAAACCTTTTTAAAACTCCTAGATTCGGCATTATTTTTGCGATGTCATCGTCAGACCACTTGTGAAACCTTTGGAAGTCAAAATGCGAAATCCCCCAAGCATTCGTTGTATTCCCATGAGCTTTGTCTCCGAAAGTTGCCTGTTTCGTTCTCTATAGAAATACGAAATTTGGTTCTGTGGTAAACGTTAAATACCCCACAGTTTGTGCAAACTAGGAAGTTAAAGCTTGTAAAATAGTGCGAGGTAGTTACAGGCCGGGATAGAGAGTACAATATTGATTGCTGAATGCTTCAATTGTAATGGCACACGAGCTTTTGACATCGCCCAAGTGTGAAAAAAACGAATACATGTTGAAGGCAATGCAATCCACAACCTCAAGATCACGATTTCCAGTCATATCTTTGATAGTTTTAACGTGTTTCCATCCTTCCCATGAACCGTAATTGTCCCTTTCGAATGGGCCGCAGCCATGAACTAAACCAGGTAAATAAAATCAACTAAGAAAGAACAGTAACCTTTGGACCTCAATGTCTGCTAGCTTCACATCTCCGGATCGGATTTACATATAGTACTTTAGGCGGTCTATTGCCACAAGGAAACGGCCTAAGTAGGATTTAGGTTACACAAGGAAGGGCGAAGGCAGTGGAACAGTTAAGTGGACAATAATTAAAAAGTCTTAGCTTTGGTACATCAGATAGCATAGTCTCGAAATTCCAGACTACTATTATGTATCGAGTGCACTACGCAACCGTAGGGCGTACAGCCCTAAGCAAGAGCAAAACAGCGGAGACAAGTGTAATTGTGACAGCGTATAATGTTTACCCAGCTCCCCATGCAATTGGTAAGACAGCACGTAGCATCCCATCGGAACCAATCTCTGCCCCTCTTTCTCTTCCTTCGCGCTACAGGATAATTGGCCCGAATGTCTTGGTCCCCCCCCCCCTCCTTCAAGGTTTTCTCTGTAGTTCTTGCTCTTGGGGCTATTTCAGGATCAGTGTCTCCTCCTCCCTCACCTCGTCCCAAACACACACGCACACGACCGCGCCCAACAAGCTGTCTGTAATTAGTGTGCACATAATCACTCTGCGACTTCAAAGTTGGTACCTTCTTCCTTTTGGGATAATCTGGACGGGTGGGGCTGGAGCGGGGTTTGACCAAAGCTGTGCCCTTCCCTCCACCCCCACCTCACTGCCCTCCCGTTGACAAGTTGCCCGCTGCAAACCCCCGCCCAAGTAATTTAGAAAAACAAAGCAAAACTCATGACCATATTTAAGTGCGTATCCTAAGACGCGTCGTGCTGTGCCTGCTATGATTTTATGCAGATTGAAATACTGCAACCATTAGTTCCGCAGCTCATTCCTCGAGGTCCCCTGTAACGTTTGGTCATGGCTCTGGGATTTTGACCTGATGCCTGCATGTTAAAACAGCAGCAAGTAAAATTGACCTCCAAAGTCAGTTCTTTGTCACAATCTTAAGGGTCTTGAAGGAGTCAAATCAATGCTGTCCACGACTTTACAATGCTTAAAGAAGCACATCTTCGGGAAATTGACAAGCAGATTTTGTTGGCTCGTCATTCATGAGTGGAAAAATCCTGGGCATTATTGCGTTTATTGAAGTCACTCTATCCTAGTAGCAGAGCTCTGGTCAAGATACTCGGGTTGCATAAATGTACTCATCAGTTTATTCGAGTTGGGCTTTTACATCGCGTAATTGCACCAGGAGTGCTCAAGACACAATGTCAGGACACTCTTATCCCTATGTTCATTATAATACAATTTACTGCATTTCTGGAATAACGTTTGCTGTTTTGTACGGATAAACACCGCTTATGACCGTTACATCAATTACAGTAAAATAGCTTTTCATTTTGATTCAAATGATTCTTACGCATTTCAAAATTCGGTGTGGTTGTATTTGTCAAATCTTCAGGTCTATTGATATTCGGTAAACCTATACGTTTCAAGTTGACGAATGTCCCCATGCAAGTCCTCATGCCCAACATTGAACGTACACCACTTAGCCATCCAATTACGGCATCAAAATGAGGCCTGGGACCCAGGTCTGCTTCAGTCACAAGAATTGTCTGAAATTTGTAAACATTGATTTGACGGAAACAACTCTGCGACTGTTAGCACCAGCCTAAAGTTTAGTACCACAAGTCCTGTTATTTGCCTGCGTCTTAAGCTTAAAAAATCTATTTGATCTCAGTGTGGTGAACCCTGTAGAACTAATGTCCGTCATTACGGTTCACACATGGCTGGCTACAATGTTAATTCGTTTGATCCCTTTCCTCATTCCCACCACCTTAGTTCCCTCTTTAAATTGTCCATCATGGGCCTGTGCAACTAAATGCACCAGTAGCACAGGTAAAGCAGTTCGCCCTCCCGACCCATAAATACGCACGAAGAGCAAAGGCGGGGACTGAGGTACCCAGATTCAGTGACGCGCTGGACGATCGAGTCCTCGCAAGCCTCTGTCTCCTCTGGGAGTGTGGTGTCGCATCAGGCCACAACAACAAGTATAATTGATTTGCCTTGATGCGACCTTCAATAACGGTTATACGTTAACAATGAGATAATAATGTCTAGACGGGGTTTGGTTTGACTGAAATCCGAAACAGCTGCCTCTTGCCATCATATTTTCACGATGACCAGTCTGGCGACGCGCCTGCACGAGGCGCACTTTTCGACAGGATGCGGTCTCAAGCCAGTTTCTCCTTTTGTAATCGCCATTAAAGTTTAGTTTGGATGTTTATTCCAAGGCCTACGATTATCAATTGAAAAGTGTATTTTATCATTTCGGCAACGTGGTTCATCCCATCACAAGTGCACCTCGGTCTAAAGCAGAACTCCATGAAAATGACAAATAAATGCATTTATAGTTTCCTCTAATCTGAGCTTCTTCGTGTGTTGAAATACAGTGAAGCATTTCTTTACCACTCCATCAATTGCCATGTTTAAACTGTTAGCATTTGCCGAAACGGCCATAGTACACGGAAAAACGCACCAAAATTGTGGTTATCTAGAGCGGGGGAGCAGGGTGTAGGAAAATCTTATGAGTAGCTGTTGGATTTTTCTCATAACGGACCGTCGATATGTCACTGCAGTGCTGGAGGAATGTCGTTTAAGGAAACATACAACCATGTATTACTTAAAAATCATATATCGCATTTGTCTACGAATCTATTCCACGGTAGAATGAGCTGTCGAGCCAATCAGATTGAACTATCAGCATTCATTTGCCGAAATGAATTTGTCTCTGAAGGTGTCAAAAGTGTAGCGGCGCTTGAGCAGTCACTTTAGAACCACGCTCGTTTAAAAAGCCGTTAACAAAAAGTTCCCCGGGGAAAACTCATCACGACTGATAGTGAAGGTCTTGACTGTGTAAAATTGTTCTTAACGTGCAAAACTCATAAATGTGCGGTCAATATTAAGTTCACGCAACATCACAGCCACCAAGTCAGAGTTTGTCATTTTCGACTAACACCTAAAGAATGAGCCAAACTGAAGTGGGAAAGGTAGGTACGTCGACAGTGGCGGCGGTGGGAAGATGGTTCGAGGAAGTTTTTGGATCGTGGTCGAGCCCAACGCCTCCTTCCGCCCACAGGGCCTCGTGCCAAGGCGGTTCTTGGCCTTCAAAGACTGCTGCTGCTGCTGGTGCCGCGAAGTCGCTGCTGCCTTAACTGACAGACAGGTCTTCTTGTAAGGATTCACTGTGTGATTGTGCGATTTGTCGAAGTGACGGCCCAAATCCCATTTCCACTTGTACGTTAGACCGCAAATAATGCACTGATGTGGCCGCTCCTTCGAGTGAACCATAATGTGTTTTTGGAGTTCTGTTGGCCACTTTGCGAAGTAGTCGCAGTGCGGACAGGGATAACCCGTTCGCTCAACAGCGCCTTTGCGTAAAGTTGACTGGAGTTGCTGTAACACACAAAAATCAGATCTGAAGTGGCAGATTATGGTTTGGACGACCAAAATTACCACCATAGGTGTCTTTCTACAACTAGCCTCTGATTAAAAGGTACGATAAATCGGATTTTGTTTGAGTAGATGAACTTGTTTTTGCTATTTAAATAGAAATAATAAGACAACCCATTCGGAAATACTTACATGCATGGGTATGTTCTCCAGGGAGCAGGTCTTCCAAGATCGGTTCTGCGTGAGTTCCTTCTGCAGGGCAGACTGGTGTTCCCGCAAAAAGTGGGCATTTAGTTCCCACAGGGAAGGAAACAATCTTTTGCACTCAAAGCACCGAGGAATGGGCTGTTTCCCAGATGCATGATGATGGTGGTGGTGGTGGTGATGATGAGGATGATGCAGGTGGGGATGAGAGGTAGAGCTGGCCTGGCCCACCTTGCACTTCCTCTGTGGACTGCTGGGGGAAGTCGCTGAAGGTTTGCTGCTGAGATCAAGTGGAACCTCCTTGTTCAATAAATCGCCGATTGTGTCAGGATAAAGAAGAGGAGCAGGCGGTGGAGGAAGGGGTAACGTGGGTAACGAAAGTAATTTGTAGATGTCCGTGACGATGCTGCTAGCAGGGAGACTGTTCATAACGATAGGTGGAAAGGGGGCAACATCTTGCCTATTCTTAACCTTATATAGCACAAACAAAAATGAAAAATGACGTCGTTAATACACGAAAACATTAAAATTAGAGTGACTGCTCGTGATTCGCGTACCTTTACACACACACACGCAAACGCGATCTATAATGATTGATTTCCAATCAGAGTTCATTGCCAGTACATGAACTTGGAAACAGTATGGTCTGATTTGTACTTGTTCATGAGTCATGAGTAAGCGACTCTGGCACCCCTTCCCCCGCTGTCTGAATAAAAGTACGTCTTTTCAACCTTTCGTCATTTTTCCATCAGGCTTAGTAAGCAGAGGTTAAGATTTAGTGCAAATAACCGCAAGCAAAACTTGGCAAGTTAATCATTGTAGTGTCATTTGAGAACAGTACTGATGCACAGGGCTCCCGCAAATTTCTAATGGTGGATTCCCTTTCAAAAGGGGGCTACGTTGAACATTGATGTGTCCGAAATTATTATAAATGAAGAACCCCAAACGAGGAATAACTTAACCCAGAGTGAGAATTAGTATCGAAATTTAAAAAGTAACTGAATTATTTTTACGAGATGGAGAGGTGCGAAAACGCTCTGAGTTGCCTTCCTCGTTTATTCAGTCTAAATGCACTTTTACACACTTTCTTCAGTTAACTTATCGGCCAAAAAGCAACCATCTAGGCATCAGATTGTGTAGGATTTTCAGGCACAAAGTAGGCTCAAAGAAAACATGAGTTCTGCAAATTAAAGTCACTTAGATACTGAGGCATATTTTAGCATTTTAGTTAGGGTTTTCACCTCAAATTTCACACACGCACAATGCAAATTCTAAGCATGTGGCGCATCACGAAGCTGAGTGGTTGCATTCACGTTCCGCCCACGCACAAGCGACTGGTGTGTGTCCAGCTTAACACAAATGAAATCTAACTAGTCAATTGCAAGAAAACTGCTCAAGTTTGATTCGTGACCATTGGGAAAACGTGTATTCCTAATTTGCTGGTCAAGTTTCATATCACAGTGTGAAACAATGGGTGCGGACGCTAACCCATGCAGGCACACTGCTGGGAAGATAATTACAGGGAACTCGTGTAAAAATGCAGCAGGTGTGGTGATGTGCTCCCCTACCGCCCCGCCCCACCCCCTTTCAGGGAGTTGAGTCGCTGGCTGACCCGCCATAAGGCGAGTGCACCTTCACCGTCTGTGTGTGTGTGTGCGGGGTAGGGTGGGAAGTCTTTTGTGTTTGAGTGTAATTACAGCTCCCTTTGAACTCCGCATGAATGTCCAACAAGGAAGCCTCACCAACACACCAGATGCTGAAAGAGCTTTTTCTCCCTCGAGCACCCACACACACACACACACACACACACACAAGCGCAACCTTCTTCTTCTTCTTCCATGTTAATAACGTTTAAGTTGAACATTTTGATAACTTGGTGCGATACATCTGGTGGAGTATGAACTCCGGTTTATCCATATCCGCCAATAGCGAAATATTTGGTCCTGGTCAACGCGAAACGGGTTGTTCACGAAAAGCAAAGTGACTTTGATTCTGTGTCTGGTACGATTGACCTTTTTCAAACCCCCAAGTGCTCGTGATCAAAACATATCATCCAACAATTTCATGCGCCTGCTTCCGAGGCATTCGCCTGCCGGCATTAAAGTGATGGCATGAAAAGTGGTAGTCACAAGCATTCGCACGGTTTCCACTGCTGCCGTTTAGACAAGACCTGACATGAAGCTTAAACCACCAACCAAATGGGGTTCCTCAATCGCCTACACCCCCACTGCTCTTTCCTACTGCGCTGATAGAGCTGTTTTGGGCATAAATAAGAAGCCATAATTTGCGTCTTATATTTAACTATAATTGATTGGAATGAAACCGCTTTTCGAAAGGAGGTATTTGCTGCTTAGAGAGAGGGGGAATGGGGTTAGCTTTCGATTACACTATCACTGTCCACCTGTTATGCTTCCAGGATCATCTGAGAGTTTGAAAAACGGGCTTCCCATTTGGGGTTTACTCTTGCGAAATCCTTTATATCTATATCAGGTATTTGCAAGTATGGTTACGGGCACTTAGTATAATCAAATGCACCTGAAAAGTCTAACCTTTTGCCAAAATATGTTAAGTTAATTTATGAAGTCTATATTGCCCTATTTCGAATACAGAAAGCAAAAAGAGGTAGCCGTGTTGAATCAAGGCTGCCGAATTTCCAAGGTGTAATACAAAGTATAAATTGAATGCACAAAGTCTTACCGAAAGTTGGCCACGCTGATCGTTGAGGGCAAGCGCCGCAACAGAAAATGTGTCCATCAGACTGCTGTTTGACAATTGAGTATTTCGATACATTAGTCTGACAGAGGGTAGGGCCACGCCCCTGAGCGTGATTGGTTAAAATTCCATCAACGCGCCTGAGTGTCCGCGGGTGCACGCACCTGTCAGCGCACGCGGTTGGTCCACACGCGCTCCCTTGACCGCACGTGCACATGGCGGCGTGACCGAAGGTGTTGGCTCGACACCTGGCAGTTTTTACCGTGCAACCTCGGGTTGCAGTTGTGTCTTCGCACGTGCCAGGGAACATCTGCTTCACTTTGAACCGCTTGACAGTGAGTGAGTTGTAAGCCCTTTCGCATTAGACGCCTTTACTGCATTCTGATGCAGTTATAGGTGTCAGCGTAAAGTTGACTATCGGCGGTGAAGCACGCGGAATACCGACACAGTCTCTACTACATCTTGAGTATGCGAAACGATATTTTACTCTGTTATGCTGGTAAGTCGCAAACGAACGTGTGGCGAATCTTGTCATATTTACGGACGTGACCACGCTGCACACATGGCTGGCCGCCACGTTCATTCGCTCCCCCGATCCTCCAATTAATCGGTTGATCTCGTTCCTGATAGCCACCCCCTCAGTCCCCACTGGGAATCGATTCGCCATGACCCTGTGTTACTAAATGCACCAACGAACACGCTCGGATAACCTTCGATGTTCTCATTCCCATCTGCGTATTTGATGCTGGATCGGGTCGCAACAACGGTTACGATTCGGGACCTACATCGGGGCGTACGAAAAATCCTTTTTTCAGCGCAATTTCCGATTTGTCAAAAGGCAAAATCCCTGATCCGTGATGTTGGAATGTGTGCGGTAGACCGTTGTTAAATAGAGAAAAGTGCTATTCTGAATCGAAGACTCAGAATTAACCCAACTGGTGAGTATGCCGCGTGTGGAAGCACTTCACATCCCAAATTTGAGGAGGGTCTTCTGAGTCGCGAGAGCGACGTAAAGCCAAGCGTTGTCCTATCTCGGCCCCAAATCACAAACTGAAAAACCTCAAACCGTCCCCTCCCATTTGGCCACGGCTGCTGGTCTCCCTTCTCGACACCAACCGAAAGTGAATTCTCGAATGCAAAGTGCCATCTTCTAACCTGGTTAACTGTTCTCAAATAAACCATCCGCTTTAGAGATCGTGTGAGTCATGGCGGGGGAAGGGTGCAGAGATGGTGTCACCCAGCCGACAAGCACTATGGCAATTAATGGCTAGGCTTGCGGTGCGGCTCAACGTGACGCATTGAAATCCTTAAAAAAGCGATTGGGATGAGTGTAAATGGATTGACATAGAAAGGTTTGGATGTGTGTGGTGACTTGCTGCCAGACATGTCGACTTCAGTGTCTGTAGGGTGAAAGGTGGATGGTAGACATCGCACGCGGCTGGCTGTCGCCTCAAATGCACTACCTGAAGAGACTCCGAGTCGAAGAACGCGGCGTCCTCTATGGACGCTGGCAAACGCCAGCCTCAGGCAAGCCTTTTAGGCTAGATGCAAGTCAAAGTGAGCGCGAGTAAGGCCCCCCTGTCACACCTGTAGCGGATTAACAGCGATCGCGCCTGAGTGAACCCTGCTTACCGATTTGGCGGTGACAATGACTCATCCCCTTTTCATTGGTTACTGTATCAAATGCCTGTCATTAGCTCACCCATCCACACACTAAGACACACTTGGATGGCGTGAAGCTAATAAACGGTCGTGTTATCTGTCGCCTATCTTCTCTATTCTCGGGTTGTTAGGGGCTGTTAACTAGAGGGTTGTAAGGTAGTGCTTAGACCACAGGCCACTACACACTGAAGCCTCGCTTACTGCTTTCTTCTGCAGAAAAAGGTCTCAGCACCTGCACCAGTCCTTAAATATCTTTCAGTTTGCTTGGTGGTCATGGCATTTCATCACAAAACCAATATTGTTTCGCCCAGCGATTAATTGTTCCACAACCTGAAATCTCATACAATATGTACCGGGTGTGAAGAGTTCAAGCAGGCGTCTGCGAAAGCTTTGGCCAAGGTGACGTTAAGAGTATTGAGCTAATGTTCGTTATTCAACTGCAAAAAATATGTTTAAGGGACAAAAAGTACCACTAAAGGCGGCTCAGAAACGAGTTATGGGGGATTTATCCTGACTTCTCCAGCAGTAATAAGCCTGGCATTCTTCCTCTTCTCCTCGTCAGCTTCCCAACTTCTCAAACTAGCTACCCGATTGGCTCGATACTTGAGTAAAGCCATATAAATCAGTGTAACAATTGCAGTGGTGCTGAAAACATAGATAATTTGGGCCCAATATCTCCGAATCCAAGTTGCGAACTAAAATGGAAACAATACGCGCTACTGAAATTTGTGAGTAGTTGTATAAAAAAATCAACAGGAATATTGGTCAACGTAAAACATCTGTTGCAAGGCACCTTCATTAGAGTTGACACATTATTTTTTGAAGATGAAAATAATCAATGAGAAATTTCGCTTGCAAATATGCATACTCATTTACACCTTGATTTAACCTTAGGGAGCCATGTCAGCATTAAAAGTGCAAGATCAAACATTACTGGGTGTATTGACCTACAATTTCCGACATTGTTGGAGGAGCAATCACAACGAGGTGAACTGAACTTGTGACAAAACGCCTTTCATCCATCCCCTTCCGCACATTTGCGATGATGCACTGATACTGACCATTCATGGCATACTCCACAGCGTCTAGGCGTCGTCTCTCGGTGTCAAAGAGTGTCATGGCTACCGCAGTTTGATTCGTCAGCGCGTCGGTAGGCTGTGCGTCGGGCAGCCTCGGCACCCTCAGATTGACCTCCCAGAGCCTCCCCACCGGTTTTGACCCGAGTTCCCTGGCCTTGGGGTCTGGAGTGTAAGACCAGAAGACCTTCCAGTCGTCCTTCTTGGTCTGCTGAACAATCGGCCAGAGGCCCTCGGCGTTGCAGGTGAACGTGAAGGGCTTCCCGCTGGACACCACCTAGGTGGAGGCAAGACGAGGACGCGAGTGTGTTGAGCCACCTGATGCTTCCCATGCAATACACACCACGATTTGCGAAGAGTGTTACCAGTGGCAGAAACGTCGTGAATGCAAAAGTCTGTCACCCCTTTAACGAGAAAACCATGATTATCCTTCACATTTGCTAAACACAAATACTGTGAAAGGAGACAGCAGCAGAACTAATTTGCTGCCAGAAAAACAAGCCTTTAGTGGAAGGTTTTCAAGCTGACAGCTCATGTTGACTCGAGCCATTTTCCGATGAGTGGTCGACAGTGTGAAAGGCTTTTTTTTGTGTGTGTACGGGAGTGACACTAATGTGTTAACAAAGCGGAAAAAAACAGTTCTGAACTGGAAAGAGGACATGGTACAAGTGAGGAAAACAGGTGTAACAGACACAAAACCGTTTGGATATTCCAAAAGAAATTTAATGAACTATTAATGTGTGATCACCTGCCTGTTGGCTACTCGTTTGGTAACTTTGGACATTAATATGCGAAGGACTCTCAAATGCCTCAGTCAAAATGGGTTATCGTCTATGACTTTAGCATCTAGTTATTTAGTACAGCATAACAATAAGTTATTGCAAACGGTGTCAATCTGTAAATCAACAAGAGCACAGGGAAGGCTTTGCTTAAAAAGCACTTCTATTGCACTAACCCTTGTTTTTTCGGCTACATAGACGACAAAAAAGCAGACCGTTTCAAAATGTCGTGGCTCATACTCGTAGCCAAATCGGTAGACTGCTTCGTCGGCAGCACTAAGGGCCCTAACGATCAGTCTGTCTCCCGAGATCTGGATGCGCTTAGTGTCCCGCAGCGGCGGTCCCACAAAGTCGTGGGGCTGGTACTCGGAACGTCCGACCGCGCGCGTCCAGAAGGCCTTAGCCCGAGGGAAGCGGTAGGGCTTGTCGAAGATCTCCACCCTCGAGGGCAGCTCCGCAGGGCAGTGCAAACCCACAGGGTCAAACTGACTGCCTGGCATCCCGCCAGACCACTCCCAGACGGCCTCAGGCCGTTGGTGGCGAAGGTCGTTAATTATTATGTCTTCCTCAAAGTCAGTTAGACGTTTAAGGTAGGGGCAGAACTTGCGGTTGCAGGCGTCCCATCTTAAAAGGAAAATAATGCATACAGATAATTCTCGTTTTAGGGCGCCGTCAGTACTAGCAGTTGTGGAAATACCTTTAGCGCTGCATAATTGTGTTAATATAATTGCATTTAGGTGATGCTCCCTAGCTGCAAAATCTATTTAGCTGAACGTCTGCGATTCGGTTCAAGATGGTGCTGTGTGAATGCGAGCGCCCACCTGCTGACATGACCCCGCAACCTGCGCAGCTGTGCATCGTTTCAAAATTAAAGCTTTAATCTATGCACAGCATAAATTCTAGTTGTTTTCTGACATATTAAATAAAATAAGAAGTTTTATATACCAGTTTTAGTGCTAAGGCGTCAATTCGAATATTTTTCTGATCTAAGCGTTTATTCCCTTGAAACTCGCCTAATCTTTAAGTTGAGCTTTTTTGTTTTATGGGTAACCAATTGTTTGACGTTTACCGGCATGGTTTTACAGATCGCTTTTGCCCTGCCCGCTGGCACGCTTAATTGATTTCCCTCCACCTATTTGCAGATTGTGATTGGTTAATGTAAATCATTGCATTCGCGAAAAAATTGCTTTTAGATATGCATTACAAACTAGCTAATTCATCAAAATGAAAGTGCAGCTCTAACGTCGGCCTGTTCACGCTCTAAAAGCCATCATTAGGAACGACGGCTTTGGACTTTCTGCCTTTGGGATAAGTATAACATGAAAGATACACATGAACCACGCGTATCTGGCATTTCCCTTCGTCTACTTGTCACTGTTATTACATTGGAAATATTCACCAGTTGTCTAGGAGCTCGCGTGGTATCATGTTTTAAGAGAAACAAGGGAGCATTAAACGCCCTCGTTACTGCACAAACATTGAAGGAAGCGTAGCGATGGATTATTACCACAGGGAGCCTGTTTTCGTGAAGTTTAAGTCGTTAACAAGCAATTTCTGGACGGGTCTCAGACTTGCCGAGACTCGCCCCTCTGTTTCCTGAGTTCACTCACTTTCCGGAGCCATCGCCGATGGCAGCAATGTCGGAGGCGGTGGGCACGGCGGCGTCCGGCATTTGCGACCGCGCCAGCATCGCCGTCGCCTCCGCGCCCGGCGGCGGGCTGCAGCGTTTGCCGCCGTGGGCCGGTGCGGGACAGGCACAGCGCCGTGTGCGCAGACCCATCCCGCTGTCGCCGCAGGCTGCCGAACACTTGATCACCGTGCTCGACCAGCGACACCAGCCGCCGTCTACTGGACAGGGAACACCCGCGTCGCATTCTACCTGCGAGAAAGAAACTCACACAATTATAGCCTGACACCGCCCTGTTGTATGGAACCACAAGGCCCTAGGCACATTTCCTTCTCATAAATTTTATTCCAAGTGAAGTATGCATGCACCCTGAGGCACTAAAATTTTAAAACGCTGGTGAGCGAGGTGAGATACACAGTAAATCAGGAAAAAGGTAATTTTGGCTGGTGAGTCATGAGACAAATCCGACCGTGTTTGGTAAATTGTTATCTGTGTTTGAAGATCAAATTCTCTAATCTACATGGAAGTTGTCTAGGAAAAATGCAAGAATAATTCCTAAATTCCCCCAAATATCAGTGTTGAAAATAAATCATGAGGTTCCAAAATGTCACTAAGCAATGAAAAATAAATTAGATGCACTCAAAAAATATTAACATTAATAGAAAAAATCACAACTAATTCATAAAATTACTCACAATTCCACCACAAATAACTAAAATTTGAGGTTGCTTAAAGCATCCTAAATTCGTAGACATTGATTTGAAGCACAATTCCTTCGACAATCTTTCACGTCAACAGTTGCCAATAATATTTTAGTCATATTTGGTTAATTTTTGCCAGTGTCTGAAAACCAAATTCAATGCTCTGCGTGAAAACTGTCAGCTGTTATCTCAAAAATCCAATTCTCTATCTGTTTTTCGCCTAATAACAGAAAACAATTTCTGAAACCTTTTGACGCGTCTAAGGAATTTTATTTAGTACAAGTGGTGTGGTCAGACCAATTTAACAGCGCCACTT